TTCTAAGCTTAGCTAGATTTTTCCAGACTTTATCCAGACTTGCCTCGATTTCTCCAGACCTAATAGAGCCTTTTCAAGACGTTTCCAGAAATTTTCTGGCTCTTTTCCAGACTTTATCCAAACTTATCCAGACTTTTCCAGACTTAGCTAGACTTTATCCAGACTTTATCCAGACTTATCTAGATTTCTCCAGCCCTTATCCAGCCCTTTGACCTCTCCGGACTTCTCCCAAACACTTTCCCGACTTCAAATACACTTTTCCAGACCTTATCCAGACTTGTCTGAATTTCTCCAGACCTTATCCAGCCTTTTTCCGACGTTTCCAGAAATTTCCAGGCTTTTCCAGACTTTATCCAGACTTTTCCAGACTTGGGTAGATTTTTCCAGACTTTATCCAGACTTGTCTAGATTTCTCCAGACCTAATAGAGCCTTTTCCAGACGTTTCCAGAAATTTTCTGGCTTTTCCAGACTTTATCCAAACTTATCCAAACTTATCCAAACTTATCCAAACTTATCCAAACTTTTCCAGACTTAGCTAGACTTTATCCAGCCTTATCCAGACTTTATCCAGACTTGTCTAGATTTCTCCCGACCTTATCCAGCCCTTTCCTGACCTCTCCGGACTTCTTCCAAACACTTACCCGACTTCAATTATGTATAAGTAATTGCCTATCTATGAGTCGGCACTTAATGTATGCAAAAGCGGTAACAACCTTGAACTAACATAAACATATCGATTTTATATTCCGATTGCCTTATTTGCATAATTAAAGCGGTGACAACCTTGAACTAACATCTCGATTTTATATTCAGATACAAGTACATGTTAACAGGTATATGTATTATCTAACAGCAAAATCTATTTAAATTGTTTATTATATTCACATAAACGAATTTCAAATCTCATAAGACCTCTTCCATATTTTGCCGGAGGATTCAGTTTTCCAGCAATTTGTTGGAAAGTGAACTCGTACTCGTCTTTCACATCTGGAAAAGTGTAAACATATCCTGAATAGTCTCTTGTAGTTTTTTCGCGTAAGAAGCTTCCTTCGTACCCGTCCTTGTTTATTTTTACAACTTGAGCTATATAATATTTGTTAAAGGCCTTGGATGTACTTGGTACTTTGTCATTGGAGAAATAAAGTAAGTTTATGAGTAACCAGTCACCAATATCAATGTCATCCTTGGTGACGGGCAAGAGACCATGTGAGATTGCTGGTTGGGGTGAACTATTCGAAATGTGAGGGTCAGCAGATGGCAGAACAATGTCTTCTTCTTCAGCACCATCAGAATTTCCATCAATTTCCTCCTCAAACTCGGACATGGGATCCATATCTGAATTTGAATCGTGAGTGCTAAAATTTTGGCTACTTTCGCCAGAAGACTCAAAATCATCAACTGCTACGCTTTTTCCAGCAGGTACATGGAGTTTTTTCTTTCGTTGTTTAGGTTGATTTTCATCATACCGCATCGACTTCAAAATGTGAACAAATGAAGTGTTTATGTCATCTTCCCTATCATTCGTTGGATTCTCCACAGGCAGCATGTTCAATACCCTATCAGCATTTAAAGGTATAATGCCGCATTTATCGAATCCGGCCATTATATTTTTAGATTTGTTGTCTTCAATCGATTCTAATAGCTTCCTTAATAAACCTGGAAAGACGTTTTTAGGAATACCAGATTCCTTTCTTCCAGGTCCTTTTTTATAGAATTCAACAATCTTTCTCCATGCAACCTTCAATGGCTTGAAAAAGGCAACATCTAAGGGTTGCGTCAAGTGGGTGGAGTTGCTGGGTAAAAATATAAAAGTAATATTGTTCACTGAGCACTCTTGTATCGATTGTACTGATAGGTGCGACGATAAATTGTCACCAATTAATATCTTTTTGCCAGGCAACTTCTTCAAGTATGGTATGGCGATTGAATGTACCCAATCCTCGAAACAATAGCTGTCACACCATCCCGATTTACTACGATTATATCTTGTACGGGGTGGCCCTCCAGTAGTCCAAGAGTTATACATGTTCAAGGCTTTGTAGACGATGTAGCATGGAAGTAAATCTCCACTACCAGAAGCAGCGAACATGATTGAAGTTGACGACTTACTGTGGTTCATAATTCGCTCCGGATATTTGCATCCCCTCTTTGCAATAATTTTTTTTCGTCCTGGGTCATCGCAAAGGTTGGTCTCATCGTAGTTTATGATGTTGCTGGCTGGAATACCTTCTAGTTCTTCAGAAAGGCGTTCGAAATACTCTGTTATTGTTACCCTCGTAACACCAGCCCGGGCTCGTTTTATATTTTGGCACATTCTCTCCGACAGCATATGCGAATGTCGTTTCAAAAAGCTATATGCGAACTCTTTACCAGGAAGATTGTCCTTGAAACGGGGCACCACCCTACCAGCTCTATTTAAATATTGTTGGATAACCAATCTTAAATCATAGGTATCTAAGGGGTAGCCCCACTCACTGCATGTAAGTAATTTTTCCGCAATACATTTCTCTTCGGCTTCACTTAACACTGTTTGACCTCCTTGTCTTTTAACATTCACATTTGCGAGGCGTCTTTGCAGAACGGTGTAAGGAATTTTGTGTTTTATAGCGGCTTGTCGAATACTATACCCGTTGTTATTAACATCATTTTTAGCCTCTTCAATGATGTTTGGATCAGGTTTCTTGTAAAGTTTTTGTCCTGCTTTGGGTTTATATTCTCTAGGCATTTTGATCCTATTGACCCCAGCCCTTGATCCTATTGACCCCAGCCCTTGATCCTATTGACCCCAGCTCTTGATCCTATTCACCTCGAAAACCTGAAAATCGTGCAACGAAATAGAAAATATTTTTCAATTTTGTTTTTGCTTACGAATAAACTAAAATAATTTTGTGTAGTTACTAACCTGTTGGAGTTAATTAGGCCAACTACTCTCAATATATGCTTCTCAAATTCGTATTTACAGACAAAGTTTTGGCGACAATGAAAACAGATGACTGACAGTACTTCTAATTAAGGCCTGGTTTACAGTGCTACCAACTGCTGAATGATAAAATATTGGTAACCTTTATGAGATATAGAGTTAGGCAACCAATCAAACTCAAATAGAAAGCATTCATTACGATATTAAGATTTCGGAAACTAAACTGATAAACTCCCTCTTTTTGATCCTATTCACCACAGCGAATCTATTCACCCCATTTTACGGTACCTATTCTCTTTCCATGGAAAGAGAATATTGCAATATTCGGGAAAAACTCCAGTATGAAGAGAAAGATTAAAGATATGATACAAAGATCGTGAAAGATTATTGAAGCTGCATTTTTTTAGGAACAAAGGGACGACCCCGTCTAGTCCAGTGCCCTTGTTGGTATCAAGATTAGAAACGTTAGTATAAACGTCAGAAATAGGAATATGAAGGTGGACGACTAAAGTAGAAGTTTCATGTGTAAGAATGACAAGGTGGTTTTGTGAATAAATTATGGAGAAATTAGCTGCAAACACATTAACAATATCCTCACCTGAGCAATTAGACCCACCTAGGTATTTAAAGTTCATTTGGAAAATATATTTATTTTTTTTTGTCCAGACCAGAACTTTTTTATATTAGTGTTAATGGCCAACTCTGTCGCATAAATATAATGATGCGAATGTCAGATTTTTACATAAGACTCTCAAGCCAAAAAAAAAAATCCGATAATCAAGAATAAGTTAAGTAACTTACGTCTTAAGTATTATACCTATAGTTTTTTTTAATTCAGTTGCGAAAACCATATAAGAAACTTTCTGGCAGAAAATTTCTTCAAAGGCACATACATACAAACAAAGGCAATAAAAACAGTTTAGAAAGTACCTATACCTACTCAATATTATCTTCAAAGCCTGATTACCAAATAATATATCCCACTTAAATTGGTCTAAAAACATAACAATATTGCGAAAATTAGCAAATTATGTGACGATAAGTAGGTATACTGGTTGAGCTAGAATAAGTTATGGAAGTTGTATGTATTTGACTAAGTATTTGACATAATCTCCACACTATAGCAGTCTCCTGAATTGTTGCACCAACAGCAGTCACTGACGAGCAAAGGTTGCCATGCTGCCAAATAGCTTGTGGTAGATTAGAGTCGCTAATAATATGTAGGAGGGTAGAGTTAGGCAACTGGAGCCTTAGGAACCTAGCGACGTCATCTAATAGGTGTGCTTATTATTTGAAAATAATGGTTTGAAACAAGACTCTGGCAATTCTTTAATTATTTATTATTTGAACTCAGAAAACTTTTCAAAATTTTAGATAATTTGTACAAATGCCACTTTTAATTATTTGCCATTTATTGCTACATAATCAGAACTTCTCTTAAATATTGGAGATTCAATTCAAATTAACTCAGGGTGTCCCACGACGTTTTTCCCAGGTGATAACTACGGAACGCTTCATTCAATATAATTGAAATTTTGAGAATCTGGATAACTTTTTATCCCGCTTCTACCACTGTCATCCAATTTCACCACTTTCGCTACAATTTGGTCAACTGACGTCAAATTTCGAATCTTAAATGTAACTCATGGTATATTATGGTATTTTTCCTTAGAAAATTGAAGTACAAAATCGGCAATGCCATATTTGTTAAGGCTTTGTTAAAGAAAATGATAAAAAATTGTATAGTGGAACATACGATGATGCCTTCTGAAGTAATCATTTGGGAGAAACCTCGTGGTTGACCTGTATAAGTTTTGTTTCACTCAACCGTTTTATATTTTAGTTTCTATTTTGTCATTAAGATTTTCAAAAACATACTAGGAGGTATAAAGATATCTGGGATAAACTTTCTCGTAATTAATCCTGATTAAAATAACTCTTAAAACTACTTCTCATTGAATTAAGAATATTATGCAGAGGCATGTCCTTTCATAAAATTACTAATTGCAAAACTATTTTCTGTAGTCTTTCCCTAGTTACTTTATAATAAAGAATTTGAATTAAGTTTAATTGTACCTACCTAACTTAATTTTCTTTTATTTTCAGAAAACTCACTTTTAAGTCCCTGTGAATTATTGTTCTATTTTTCTGGATGGTTATAATATAGTACTCCGCATTCTTTCTTTTAATTTGATTACTGGTGTAGATATTAAAAAAAATAAGGAACCGTTGAACCACTTAACATTTCATCTCAAATTTGTGTACTGAAATCATTTTCAACCAGCCTCAAATTTAATCTAAATGTTTACCTAATTATTAGGTACACAAGTGATGTGCGAACTTGCTTACGCCACTTTATTTTTCAAACTGTCCATACAATCGTAACTCAGGTAGTATTAACAAAGTATTAGAGAATTTTTCGTGTGTAATATAGTTTGTGAATATGAACTTCGAATAGAACAATAAAAAATGTGAAATGTTAATGACAAAAAAAAGTGAGTAAATATTTTTGTAAAAATTTAAGTTAGGTATGTAGGTAACTAAACCTACCGAGATTTGGCCACCGAAAATCTAATTCTAGCCTAAACTAAACAGCCATCAATGTTTTTGTTTAATACATAATTAATTAAAAAAAAAAAAAAACTTTGGGATTCTTGACGTTTAGGACAACAAAAATTTTATTCAATGATCACTTCTAGAAAAGCTACTGTTTGGAAACATATTTTATTAAAAATAAATAGGTAATTAGTATGGTTAAAAATATTTTGAAAACATTTAAATGTTCTGTGAAGATTTTAAATCTTGATTTAAATCGTTTGTTCAAATGAAAAGTATCTATAATGTTTGATACAAACTTTTTTTTGAAATGATCTTAAACAGATCTGCTTATAATAAAGAAAAACCCTGACTGAAGATCGTCGAAATTAGCAAAGTCAGCACAAGATATACAAATTCAAGGAGACTTTTCTACAACTATTTTATTTAGATACATATTATTTTATGACACATATTAAATGGAACTGTTCAATTAAAAACGCAGCTTTCACAATAATTTAATGTGCCTACCAAATTTTTATTATCTATTGTAAAGTTTATGTTCTGATAAAAAATTGATTTCCAGTTATTTCAAAATGGACACAAAGCATTGGAAAATCTCTTGGTGCAAAACAGAAACCTGTAACTTTTCTCTTATCAGAGCCCCAAACGATCCGAAAGAGTTTTCCGGCTAGGGCGCAAGCTCAGTTTCGCCGATATGGATTTTCCGGGAACCGATTTTAAGATGTTGCCCTTCTGTGCCTATATGGCCGTCAGTAGTGATCATGCCTTCACTATTCACCCCTTTTTATCGGTAAGTGTATCTTATTGTTGTAAAATAATTTTTCTTGTATCATACGATAGTTTTATGGGATTTATTTTTTTTTATTTCTTCTTATTAAAATAAAACATCAGGTGGAATTTTGTTACATAGCTACATTTTTGCTTAAGTTAAAATATTATAAAATTATTAAAAAGTTTAATAAGTAAAAAGGTACCTATACCTACATTACCTACCTACTTATTTATAATAAAATTATGTACTTTAGTAAGGTCAGGCACTGGGTGCCAGTCACGGGAATTTAGCGTGTATCCAGGATATTTTTTTAAACATTTAATATACAGAGTAAACTATTTATAGAAAATTTTCCTTATAAAAATGAAAGTCATTCTATATTCAAATCAGTATTTAAATTTGCCCCCCCCCCCCCGAACTTTTTATGTTTGTTGCTTTTTACCAGTTCTTAGAAATAATCCATAACGACCTAAACTCTGAAAAATGCGCAACCGGATATACACTTTTCATTTTGAGAAAAACGCAAAATATCGAAAATCTAAAATACAGATATTATAAATATTTAATCGATCAAAGCATGTTTATGTAAAGTTTGAGCCAATAGGCCACTTCCATGTGCCAGGAATATGGCAAATTATGATATTTTTTGACACAGATACATGGATGCAACATGGAAAATGAAGAATATTCTCCAAGATTTTAGTCAGATTGTTAAATGAATTAATAAATAAAAATCACGTAACTGAAAACGCCGTCTCATTGGCTGAAGCCGATTTCATGCTTTTGCTGCCACATTTAAAAATGCGAAATTTAAATGATTTCAACGATTATACCTATCCTTCACTGATAACCTTGCTGAGGTAGCTAGCCATGTAGGGTAAGAAATATTAATTGCGGAGTGCTAGCGTTAAGTTGTCCACCGACTCCGATTTGGCGAGACAAATATGTAATTCCTGTGGGTGTGCTAGCTCAACCAGTAGTAGTGCTAGCTATAACCTTTATGTGTTTAATGTATTCAGGTGGCACTTTTTTCGAAAAATCGGAATCAAGGAAAATTTCCAGCTATGTAAAAAACGCCTCAATTAGGTATATCAAATACGTGTTTTTTTTTCTGTTAAATATACTGAATAGTTATATTGTATGTATATTTATTATCACTAACTAAATATACATGGACTTACCTACCTTTTAAAAATCGAATGATAACCATATTTGCACAATATGTAGTATTTGCAGGTACCTAAAATAAAATGTGTTACACAGTACAGAGAGTTTTGCAGTGATGATTGTTGAAAATATGGCGTAAATGTTGAGATTTATTAGATTAGTGAATGAAAGCTTTAAACCAGAAATTCTTATAGAGTAGGTACTTACCTAGATTCAAAAAAGTGTAAGTTTTTCCAAATAATTTCCACTCTAAAAAGAATTCTAATGAGATACCTAGGTACACATTAAAGTTTGTCCTCTAGCATGGGGAATTTTTTAAACAAATTTGCAATATAACAACAATTACGGAAAAGACAAATTATTTTCACACAATGCCATATAATTTAATCTTCTTATTTAACACATATTTTTGTGTATAAACAGTGGATATCGTTTATTTTTCATGAGAGTTTTCTATATATACTAAAGCTCATTTTTACGAATTAATATACAGATGATTTAATTTTTAGTACGGAAGTGCTCTAATTATAAAAGTTTCGGTCAACATAATAGTGCTAAATTGTGAAACATTGTGCTGGAACCTGAAAAATATTCAAGTATGTAGGTATTCTTTTTACCAAAAAAAAAACATAATAACTTTTAAATAGAAAAATATGAAGGATTTCTAATCTTTTAGCATTTTTCTTACTCTTCTTTCTATTTAGAAATTCTAAACCAGAATTCAGCAGTAAACTAATCCCTTTGCCTCTGAAATTAGCAATTTTTTAGCGGCAGCTTTCAGCTAACGTAGTTTTAAGAAGTTTTTATTACTGTGTAGGTAATTAATTTTGAGCTCCAGCCGAGTATTAAAAAAGTACGTTGATGAAATTGCGTAGGATCAAAATATTAATTGATGAAACACTGGTCTCAAAAAATTAAAAAAGTTACCTAAAACATTATCTATTTTTCTACTGTAGAATAATTTGATTCTAAAACAATTCAAAAATGATAAAGAAACCTATAACTGTGAAATAGATGTTTATAAAGCAAGTTTTTCTATGAATTATTCGTTTTTCTGTGTAGACAAATGTACATGTAAAGGAACAACACTGGCAACGAACAGTTTGGATCCAGTTTTTGCCAAATTTTCCTTTAACTTAAGGATTTTTATACATAGATCGATTAAAATCGAAATTTTCCGGAGAAAAAATATCATTTCGACAACCCTAAAACTGTTCCAGCTCCTTGAGATAAGCTTTACCTTAAAAAATCTTGATATTTCCTATCTCAACGCCATACTGTAAATTGCTTGAAAAATTATAAAATTTCTTCTTTTTGCTTTAGTGGAAATTTATCTCCGGAAGTATAGCTTTAATTGAGCTGAATCTTAAAGATTTGCAGTCCTCTACTATAATAACATTGATGTTATTGTAGTAAATGTATTAATGTTGATGGCCTGTAGAAAAAAAAATTTCAATTTTTAACGGTTTTTGGAAAAATTACTTTTCGAAATTTTTATAAGGACTGGATTTTGGTTGATGGCAGGAGACCCTGAACCCATTATAGATGAAATCTCTAAATATTTAAGCGTAAAGGTGATTTTCTTTTTATAAGTAATAATTATAATAATGTTTATTTTCAAACCAAGTAAATACAATAGGTACCTAACATTGTGAAAGGTTAACACTATCATTTTCTCACAGGAACTAGCTAATAGGAAAATGAACATAGGACAATTTACAGGAGTAGGTAGTCATTTTCTACTTGAACTTGAAATCTCAGCCATTTCTACATTCTTTCATGCAGCCTATTTTTGTAATATATGTGGACTAGCTATAATATTCATTTTCAATAAATTGTTACATTATTACAAAAAAAAAAAAACAAGATAAGGCTCTTTATCTACATATATCAGCAATCGTACTATTTTCCAGTGATACATCTAATCAGTAAAAATGGTACTTACTTACTTCCTCACAGACTGTTCTAAAAGCTAGACACGTTCAGTTTTTTGATAGAAAATTCATGAACATAAGAATAGACATTTTCCAATTTGTTTCAAATTGTAGTTTTTGAACTTTTTAAAATATTTACTAAGGTAACTTAAGCATTTTAACAAAATTCCAATATAAGTACTTTTCGTAGAAAATGAGACAAATCCTTCATCGATAAGTCCATAATATTTCAAAAATTCATTTTTTTTTCTAGGTAATGAAGCATCCCTAAAATGCCTCCACGGTTAACGCCGCGTAAATTTTTCCTCACATTCCTGGTGGTCATCGGCGTAACCCTATTGGTGGGAAGCAAATTTAATTTTTCCTATTTTTCGAATGGCACCAAATCGCACCATTTAGATAGCAAAAATAATAATGGAGTGGAGGATCTTACGCAGCAAGGACTGGAGGAGGAAAAAGAGGAGGTAAGAATTTGAGTGTCGAGTGATTTGCTGTACTTAACGTAAAACACTGGCGGTTCGCCCATATAGGCAAGGTGGGCATCGCCACTCTGGAGAAAAAATGGAAAAATAAAAAACACTTTTAATACAATATTTGAAAAGGCCGCGACCTTGAAAATCTGAAAAAAATTGCCCACCTTCACTTGAACACCACGAGCCGCCACTGAAGTAAAATTCTCATAAGCCATGTAAAATGTTTCTTTTTATCATAAAAACCATGCAATTACAAAAATAGACAAATAATTATAAGTGAATTGTGATGGAGTAACTTATGGTGTAAAACTGATTAAATGATAGCCCAGATTTAGTGACTATAATTCTCTCTGATGATAACAACGGAAATTGTAGCAAAGAGGCGCACATAGCGTGTTTTATTCAGGATTTTACAGTCATGCTAGAATTTTAGGGAGTCTGGAGATTGCAAAATGTCGAAACTGTGTTGAGTAAAAATCTAGACTGGATGTTTCAACCAATCACGAACCAATAATAGCAATAACAAATCCAGAGTTAAGGTGAAATAGATTTTGATAATTAAATAAAAATGACGATTTTTATGTTTACCTGAAATGTAACTTTATCTATACTCATTCAATAAATCAGAGTCAATAGTACATATTTTATTTATTGTTCTGTTGATGTAGGTATATTACAGGTTTCCTTAAACTACTTGCCTTGTTGTTTTCCAAAAACTGGCAAATATCCATTGAAAATTTGCTAAGAAATGTATTTATAAACCAAATTTATTACTAAAATGACATCCGATAAGATTATTTATACATTTTTTTCCAAGGGTTTTCTGCTATTCATTTCCCGATGGCCTGTCGGATTTTTCACTAATTCAATTCCCAATTTGAATTCGAATTTAGATAAATTAAAACCAAATGCAATGATTGACAATTATTGAAGAATTCAATTTATTCATAGATTAAAAACGAAGAGTTATTAGAAGACGAAAAAGAGCCATCCAACCCGCCGGAAAAGGCGTACTTTTTCACAGGCGGTACGCTTTATCCCACAAAAACTAAAGGACCGGCAAGACTGTTTCCAGAACAGGCGGACGGAGATCGGATCGTGGATCAGCTTATGTATGTGCCAGAAGATTATCAAGGTGAGAATCCAGTATATGTTATCTTAAGATTTTTATTCTGCAGTTTATTTCAAAGACAAGGATATTAGATAATAAGTTATAGTCTAGGAGGCAGTGACGATTTTCGGCGTAGAGCTTACAAATGCACGGCCCTTTGTTTGTTCTAGATTAACTAGATTTTTGAAAATTTAGTTTTGTCTTTTCTATTATTGTCTATGGCTTTTTGAATTTTCATAGCAGGTATTGTAACTCATTTATCCCTATTTTCTTTATAAAGATCCCAAAAGAAAAAAAAATGGCGGATATATTGTAGCAACATTCTAATCGAACTACATCACTGATTCACTCATAACAAAATCTTGCATGTTGTACCTTATTTTCCATTATCGGGCTTGACATCTTTCCAACCAAATATTTCATAAAAATACATTTTATCGATTCCACTGCTAATGGGTCGTGGCGCTACACTTTTCATTGTTCTACGATGTAAACAGGTAAATTTTGCATGCGATTCCCAATTGTGTAGTTAGAATTCGAGGCTTTACAGGTTGTGCAAATTTCATATATTTTTTGGACGCGATCCAAAAACGATTCTCTTGGGCTGTCGGCCGTACTACTTTCGCGAAACGATTCTGCCAGCAAATTTATAATTTATTTGTTGCATGTTGCAGCTCTTGCTAAGCAATACAAGTACTTAAGTTTCTGCTGCAATCGTAAATTAGTTATAAGGATGTTTTTAATTGTCCAACAATTATTTCTGAAGCTTTTCCTTGAACTACTAGCAGCAATATGGCTGACATTATGAGGTTTAGGCGGTGCAAAATGATCAAGTTGGGTTAAAGTTTCAACATAGAAAAATTGAAAAGGACCCCGCAATATTTAAACGGAAATTGGTTACCCGTGATATTTGGATGAAATTTAAATAAAATCTGTTTTTTTTTTTTAAGATAATTCCCCAAGTCAAAAATTTAGTAACTATGTTGGCAACACAAGCCTTTTCTACATGAAAAATTTGAAAGCATTGACAATTTTACATTGTTTTGCCAACCTAATGTCAGTTTGACTTTTATCTTTAAAAAAAATAGTAGATTATACCACTAGTCAATAATGATAGCTATTATTCCCGAGGATTATTACGAACTGAGCCGCGTTAGCGGCGAGGGAGTAACATTCCGAGGGAATAATAGCCATTATTGCGAGTAGTATACTCTACTTTATTTACGACAAATTAATTTATTTGAGATTTTCAATGAACAAATTTCATCCGTCTCATAATTTTCAATACAAATCCACAAGCACTACACGTTTGACACTGACACTTTTGTGGAATAATGACCATTAATCCCGTTACTCGTCATTAATCCCTGGAGGAATAACATATGTCATTATACTGCCAAAATCACAAATATAATACGCACATTATACATTAGTCGTAAATAAACGCACTTTATGTTATTGGAAATGCCGTAAGCAAAATTTTTTACCATGGGTGTAACCTTGTATATATGACAGGTGTAGCAAAACGCCCCAAGTACACTATATAAATTGTTAGATGGTAAATGGCGAGCGGTATATGGATGGTGTTTATATATACTTGGAGCTTGCTATTTAAAATCTGTGGAAGAGGGTCTATTTGCAAGAGAGAGAAACAAACTAAGGAAGTGTACTAAATTATATTTTATTTCACATAAAACCCAAAAATCTGCCAAATATCATCCAATACTTTACATCCTTCTTTTATTTCTATAAAGGCAATACTTCACATCCGTTCTATATTGTTATTTTACGGACCACTGAAATATCCCTACTAAATAAGAAACGCCCTATTCATACTATTTCTCAAAATTATAATTCAACTCATTTTACTACATCCGAATCATTCCTAATAACTATCCTTTACCTAGTTAAATAATTCCTTAAAATCTCTAAGTCCTTTACCTATGAAAACCCAAAATAATTACCTATTTGTTTATCAACTAATTTATTCTCATAAAACCTTACTATAACTTGAAAAAATAAAATCCCTAATTTAATAGTTCTGCCTTTAAAATCATCAGTGTCTCTTGATGAATAAAAAATTTCACATACAACTTCTCAATACGTCTAAAGATAATCGTTAGAAGTTTTATCTCCTGAATGACTACAGTCCTTAAACTAATCTCTCCATTAAATTGAATGATAATCGTCAACAATCTAGTTTCAAACACAAGTTTCTTTTCTACACATCCCATTTCCTTTTCAAAGGACCAAATTACTAGCATAAAATTTCTTTGACAGCTTTCCAATATATTAAGGCAATTCTATTTTTCAAGATTTCCTATTCTATTTAATTAAACAATTACAATTTCTCGCCATCCCTGGCTAATACACAAAGTTATTTAAATTCTTATGAGTTCGATTTTATAGCCCTTAATTTTCAAAGAGGACGAACCAGTTCAAACTTCTACTCAAATCAAAAATGTTTAGGTTCAGTTAAATGCATTACAACGTTCCTTCTTAAGTTCTTTTCACTATTAAATGTCATTATATCTGAAGGTAATTAAGTTATGCGACAATGTTTCCTTTATAAAACACTCAAGTTATTAAGTTTATTTTAATAAAGTTCCACCGTGATTAAAATCAAAAGTTTTCTAGTAAAATTCACACAAAGTCATGTTCATCAAAATAAATCTTGTCACTATAAAGTACTTACATTTTGTCCATAAAACACACGTAAAATTATTTAATTAACTACTCAAAATATTTAGCTAGCACGCACATAATTTATTGAACGAATTTCAAATGTTATTACTTTCTCGATTTTCCGTAAAATTTTCTAAGTTAAAACATACCCGAGGCAGACTTTACTTCAAACTGGACTAGACTGTTCTGTGGCAACTATCCCCCGGCAACTCAAACGCGGCTTTTTATATCTTTTGTTTCCCCTCCGAAATTCTGTGTCCATGACAATTAAGATGATGCAATTTCCTTGGAATTTTATATTATTTTTTAGTCTAAAATCAATTAATTATGTCGCAATAATCTGATTTATTGAGGTCAACACGTTTTGGGTTCAAGAATGCCATAATTCATTCGATTCAATTTTTGTTAAGCGGAAAGGCCTTGGCTAAAAAAAGTTCATTGATCGGATTTTAGGATGACATCACCTCGTTTTTATCAGTTTTTAAGAATTTAATTTAGATTGACTTGGCCGGTGTTGCAATACTTTTTGCCATAATTTGTTTTATTTTTTAATTTATCGAATACAGATTTATAGATACGGAAATTCAGTTTTTTGACTGTTTCATTAATTATTTGATTTTTACAGTAATTGACATTGGGATTTATGAGTCTATTTTCTCGGAATATTACACAGGTGAGGCGGTATCAGCTGTCAAATATTGGAATCTAATATTCAAAAGCAGGGTAACTATGACAGATTTTGATGAAACAAGTACTGATTCCCAATAAGTCAACCGAGGAAAATCGAAAAATGTCAATCATTTTGACATCTGTCAAAACCCTGCCAAACGGCAGCACTCATATTTTTAAGTTTTCAATATTTCATGTTGTGTCATTTGACAGTTTCAACTTATGTAAACTCTTAGTTCAGAAATTGAAAAAAAAAAAATTTACAGAAATGTCAAAACTTGTCATTTGTTTTAGTAACAAAAAAAAAATCCAATTTGGCCCTTTTTCGTTTGAAGGTAGTTTATTGGTGATAAATCATTAAACAAAACTCATAGACATCAAATTTTGACAGCTGTCAGAATCTGAAATTAGCTTTAATTGAAGAAAAATAAACTGTTCTGTTCTGTTCCAATTTATTTAAGTTATGCTTATTTATTATGAAGCATAAAAAAACTTATACACAGGTTTCAAATTTTGACAGCTGTCTATGAGCTTTGCTTAATGTTTTATTACCAATAAACTACGTTTTCAACTCAGAATTGACATAGACTAAAACTGTCAAATGACACATTATGAAATATTGAAAACTGAAAAATATGAGTGCTGCTGTTTGGCAGGGTTTTGACAGATGTCAAAGTGGTTGACATTTTTCGATTTACCTTGCTCGACTTAGTAGGAATTTATACTTGCTTCATCAAAATCTGCCATAGTTACCCTGCTTTTGAATATGAAATTCCAATATTTGACAGCCGATACCGCCTCACCTGTCATATATACAAGGTTGCGCCCATGGTAAAAAATGTTGCATAATAATAACATATTTAAATTTCATCCAAATATCACGGGTAACCAATTTCCGTTTAAATATTGCGGGGTCCTTTCTCATGCTCAGGTGCCCCCATTACTGGTGACTTAAGCATGTGCCTGGAATATTCCTGTCACTTGAAAAGATCTTCATGGCATATGCATTGGATATCTTTATATTCCTATGAATATTCCTGCAATATGTTTGTGCCATCTGGGTATTTCTCAATTTCTTTGTCTCAATTTTTGTCTATTTCTAACTCTTGAATCTTCAATATATTCTAAGCTTCTTCAAAGAAAGAAAATTCTGAAAAATAGTCAAAAAAAAAAGAGAGACAGAAATAACAGTTTTTCCTCAATTTGCTTTAAATTTCCTCTTTATTTCTCAATTTCATTGAATCAATTTTTGTCTATTCCTGACTCTTGAATCTTCAATATCTGCTCAACTCCTTCAAATAAAGAAAATTTAGAAAAATAGACAAAATATGAGAACCAGGAATAGAAAAACTATACGTCTTTTTGTCCAAAATATGTCAAATGCCTCAAATGTCCTCTTCATTTCTCAATTTATTTGTCTCGATTTTTGTCAATTCCTGGCTCTTGAATCTTCAATATCTTCTGAGCTTCTTCAAAGAAAGAAAATTCAAAAAAATAGTCAAAACATGAGAGCCAGGAATAGGAAAATTACGTCTTTTTGTCTAAAAGTTTTAACTCAATTTGCTTCAGATATCCTCTTGTAGGGAAACTCTTGGGCAATCTTACTGGTAGCGAAATCTGGGGAAATAATTATTGGTTTCCTTTAAAACTATAATTTGATGTACAAAAACTGACTTTTGAGTCACCCCTCAGGGATAAACTGCAAGGGATATCTAATGTACAAATTAGGAGAAATCCGAAGAAATCTAAGGCAATCAAGGAAAATTATAAGGAAATCTCAAGGATCTCGGGCGAAATCTTAAGGAATTTATGGAGAAGCTAAAGAAAATCAGTTAATCTCTAAATCTATAGCGTATTCGCAGTTTTCGAAAATCTTTATAATTTGAGGTTATGTTATTAGGGGAACTATGAAAGTCTTGGGCAATCTTACTAATAATCAGGAGAAATCTTCCTGGTGCACAAAAACTGACTTGCGAGTTACCCTTCAGGGGTAAACCGCAAAGGAAATCTGGTGTACAAACTAGGGTAAATCAAGAAGAAATTCAAGGCAATTAGGGATAATCAAGGAAATTCTTAAGGAATTCGGGGGAAACCTTAGGGAAATAGTGGTAAATCCTAAGGAAAGAAGTTAATCTCTATAGATCCAGCGCATGGGCAGTATTCGAAAATCTTTAAAATTTGAGGTTATGTTATCAGGGAAATTCTCCACTCGGCAGTAAAAAAATACATGCATGTTTATCATCAACAAAATATAAATGCAAGTCTGAGCTTGTTGTTTTTGCTAGAATGGAAACGCTTATCAGTTATAAGTAAAAATAACCGTGAAACATGGTACCGCTGTTTGTTCCCACATTAAACGTCGGCGGCATGATGATTCACGAATTTTCCTTATTAACCATTACAGCATCCTGTAATGAGATAACATCAAGACGTCGAAAAATTTGGGGTTGACCCGGGTCAAATCCCCGAAATTTCAGACCAAAGGCACCGCCGATCTAGAGATTTTCCCACGGTATTGAAAAAGGACCTCGCAATATTTAAACGAAAAATTGGTTAGCCGTGGTATTTGGATGAAATTTAAATATGTTATTGGAAATGCCGTAAGCAACATTTTTTACCAAGGGCGTAACCTTGTATATATGACAGGTGAGGCGGTATCAGCTGTCAAATATTGGAATCTAATATCCAAAAGCAGGGTAACTATGGCAGATTTTGATGAAGCAAGTATCGATTCCCAATAAGTCAACCAAGGAAAATCGAATATTTTTCAGTTTTCAATATTTCATGTCGTGTCATTTGACAGTTTCAACCTATGTAAACTCTCAGTTCAGAAATTGAAAAAAAAAAAAAAAAAATAGAGAAATGTCGAAACTTGTCATTTGTTTTAGTAACAAAAAAAAAATTCCAATCTGGCCCTTTTTCGTTTGAAGGTACCTAGTTTATTGGTGATGAATCGTTAAACAAAACTTATAGACATCAAATTTTGACAGCTTTCAGAATCTGACATTAGCTTCAATAGTTGAAAAAAAAACTGAACTCTAGTTCTGTTCCAATCATTTAAGTTATGCTTATTTATTATGAAGCATAAAAAAACTTATACACAGGTTTCTAATTTTGACGGCTGTCAAAATTTGATGTCTACGAGCTTTGCTTAATGTTTTATTACCAATAAACTACCTTAAAACAAAAAAGAACCAGACATGAATCTTTTTTTCCTACTAAAATGAATGACAGGTTTTGATAGTTGTGTCATTTTTTTTTTCCAAGTTTTCAACTCAGACTAAAACTTGACAGATGTCAAAATGGTTGCATTTTTCGATTTTCCTTGGTTGACTTATTGGGAATTGATACTTGCTTCATCAAAATCTGCCATAGTTACCCTGCTTTTGGATATGAAATTCCAATATTTGACAGCCGATACCGCCTCACCTGTCATATATACAAGGTTGCGCCCATGGTAAAAAATGTTGCTTACGGCATTTTTAACAACATATTTGAATTTCATCCAAATATCACGGGTAACCAATTTCCGTTTAAATATTGCGGGGTCCTTTAAACATTTCTGAAGGTAGGATGAGGGACTTTTTGAAGTTAAATTTCCAAAAATTATCGAAAATCATATTTCCAATTGAACTGAAATTTTCTGAAAATGTAGTTGTAGTGAAGGGTTACTACAAGTTTTGATCAAGATTTTAACATTTCTCAAATTTTCAACTTGTATTTTTTCATTAAATCTTTTATATAAGTTTGATCCACAATTTTAACTATGGAGACATATTGAGAATTTTTTTTTTGTCTTGGCTAGGATATGAACGCAGCACCCTTGCATATTCAGTGCAGTGCTCTACCAACTGAGCTATTGCACTTCACAACTAACAGCTTAAAATTGATGAAAGACTTGACCGACAAGGTAGAAATGAGATAGGTCTCGGTAGCTCAGTTGGTAGAGCTCTGTACTGGATATGCGAGGGTCATGGGTTCTAATCCTAGTCAAGGCAAGAAAAAATTTCATCAATTTTAATTAAAGTCTGCATGCTACTAAATTCATAACACACTGTAAATTATATTACAAACGATAAAATTAGAAAAATTGTAAAATTGTATTGGCTTGATTTGATGGTTCGGCGTCCCATCTCGACAGGGCCGATCCTAGGGTAGGGCCGCCCGCGTGCAAAGAGCAATCGCGCCGCCCCATAGAGATATAGCCCTCCTTACGTAGGTGCCAGTGATGGTAACCCGCCGCAGGCGCCGCCGGAGTCAGAATTTTTTTTTGGGTGCCACGCCCAAAAGCGTTCATTTCGAGCCTCAAAATGAACGTTTTGGGCGTTTGGAGTTGAAAAAAAACTTGTTTGGAACATATTTGTTTTCTATGAGTTGTTTGAATGCGGGTGAGTGGTGATCAATAATGACAAACACTATCCTAAAACTAAAGTAGGGCCTGATGGGCTTGGGCCTGGATATGAAATTGAAAAATAGGGCCCTGTGGAAAATCAAGACACCCAGTTCCTAGTCGTAATACTTATCTACATAATTATCCACCTGGATTTGGAAGTCGTTGGTATTAATTTTTCCAAAGTTAATTGGAACAAGGTGAACATAAATTATAACTGGTGGCTGACTAGTGGCAGTGGATTCCTTATGGAATTTTTCAGTGACTAGTCAGCCACTAGTTGGTACCTTGTTCCAGTTAGGCACTAGCTGACGTCACACACAACCTCACATTCGACTTTCGATGAGGGGACAAACAAAGCATTTGATGGTCTATTTTTACATGCAGGCGCTAGCTATTAACGTCAAAAATCAAATAACGTCACTTTCGATAGGGGGACAAAAATGTCATTGTGAGGTTATGTGTGTGACGTCAGCTAGTGCCTAAAACAAAGCAGAAGCATTTAGGAAATATAAAAAATTATGCAATCTTATGATGGATGTGTAAAGAGTTAAAACATTATGCTTGAGCCTACACATTGACTGCACTAAACTTTCTATTTATGTTATCCAGGAGATCGGGGTTTATTTTCATTTTTCAGGGGTTTTTAAAAGGTCAGCTTATTTCTTTATTAGAAGTAGTTTTATTATGAGAAATTCGTAAAAAGTTTTACTTGAATCTTGAATGACAGAACTAAAGGGCGGCCTGCGGCCGCCCCTAGATTTGGCCGCCCGCGTGCGGGGCACGCGTTGCACACCTGCTAGGATCGGCCCTGCATCTCGATGTCTGCTGCCATATAATCGTGAAGTTACTCTTCACTTAATCAATCTAAAGAAATCTTTGACTCACAGAAAAATTTCCATTATTGGCGAAGTCCAGTGGAAATCTGTTTTTAATGTTTCAAATCATTTTATCTGATTGATGATTTCTAAACATTTCAAAGACCTCAAATCCGAAAAACCAAATGAATCAAATTAGAAATTGAATAAAATAACACACTTAAATCGGAATAATTTATCAAATGTAGTGACGCTAATTTCAGAAAATTCTTTCCTAAACTCCATTCTTCATTCAGCCGCGGATTGAAAAGATGAAAAATGAGTTTTCAAGAATATTTTTCCGTCGTGTTTTCCAGCGGAAAACAAAATCATGAATTGCGAAGTATCAAGCGTGTGTCGGGCATTTATAATTTACGATCTGTGAGTTTGTTTGGCGAAGGGGAATTTTATTTTGTTCATAAATAAGTGGAACTTCTTTTATTATGAAATATTTCAGGAAAATCTCAAGTTAATATTACCTAAATTTGGATGTAGGCAGGAAATTCTCCGGATATCAAAGCGCAAAGTTTTGCTACCTTCTAGATTATCAAGCCCGAGAAGTTGCAAGCTTGAAGATTATTTTACCCGATAAACTTCGAAGGGAGATAAGACATTATTTGACCTAAATGAGCACCGATAGTAATCAAATATCCTAAAATAGACTTCTTGTTTTATTTCAGGATACGACACCCCCGAGAAAACGATATTGCTTTATAGCGGATTGGGTTCTTGGGGACAAAAAGGAGGTTCCGGAACGTTTCACCAGTGTCCAGTTAGTAGATGTTCATTGACCGCAGATCGAAGTAGAGCGGCCGACGCCGATGCTATTTTGTTCAAAGATCACGTTGCGCTTCCTGGGGTTGATAGACCTATGAATCAGGTAATTCAATGTTGATTTGATATTTAACAGAATTCACAAAGTATATTTTCTGGACAGTGTATGAAAAAGTACATTATTCACATGAGCCTCGAAAATGCCCAAAATCAAAAAAATAACTTATTTGGCTATAATTAGAGACTGATTACATTGAAATGAATCAAAATTAACATAATTTTGTGTTAAAATAGGCTAGAGGATTTACAACATGAGCCTTAAAAAAGCCTAAAATCTGGAAAATATTCTCAATAAATATTTCATTTTTCAGGCCTGGATTTTGTACCACTTGGAATGTCCATATCACACTCAAAGTGTAAAAATTCCAGATTCCATTAACTGGACTGCCACTTATCGTAGAGACAGTGACATTGTTGCGCCTTACGAAAGATGGACCTATTTTGATCCAGAGGTATGCTAGAGTTAGGCTTGCTTAATATTTTTCTAGTTTTTTCATGTATTTATTTGATAAAATGACCACTGTTCTGTTAGTTTTTCAAATTTTTCAGTAATTTGGAATTTTTGAATAAAAAGTTTTATGCAAAGCAATTTTATTTGGGAATTTATCTTTAGCATCACTTAATTTTGTTTTTCTCTTTCTACTCTCTTCATTTCTTGTAGTTTCAAGTTAGTTTTTCTGAGGTGGGATTCTGTAACGGAGTGATCGTTATCCCTATCGCTAAGGCACTTGCTGTCTTCTTCTCTCTTTTCGAAATCAATAGAGATAACAAAAATATCTCTATTCGTTACAGAATCCCAACCCTGGCGCTTAATTACTCATTGAACCGTTAATATTAAAATATTTTTGTTTTGGATACTTCAAACTAAATTCATAGCACAAATTAATAAAAATTATAAATCAGATTTTTATTTTAGGTAAAACAACAAGTCCAAAACAAAGATTATTCGGTGAACAAAACGAAAAAAGTGGCTTGGTTCGTATCGAACTGTGGAGCACGCAACAATCGACTGCAATACGCCAGAGAATTGGGGAAATACATAGAAGTCGACATATACGGCGGATGTGGCAGCTTCAAATGTCCACGGTCTGACGACAAAAAGTGTTTCACCATATTGGAGAGCGATTACAAGTTTTACTTGGCTTTCGAAAACTCAAATTGTAGAGATTACATTACGGAGAAAATGTTCGTTAATGGATTAGGTCACGATATACTGCCGATTGTTATGGGTGCCAGGCCGGAGGATTATCAGAAAAGTGCACCGGAAGGTAATTTGAAGTCTTACTTTAGTATTGTGCTACTAAAATTGTCAGGAGAAGATTTTTGTATGGGTAAATCACAAAAGGTTGAATTTTCTCTATTTTTAGTCTTCAGACTAAAATAGATTGGCTGCTGGTGGGTATATAGGGTTATGGGGTATCAAACATTCAGTTTGTTTTGCGACTTATTTAGATCCATGTGCTTTCACTTAACGAATGAAATCACAATATTTTTCCTAGGAGAATTTTTTGGAACAGGAAAAACTATCAAGTCCAGTGACACACCATTTAGTTAAAAGTGAGCTTCAATTCTTCTAATGCTCAAAGGTTATTTTTTTTTATCTAATTAGACAAATACTGCATTGAATCCAGGGTGTCCCGAATAAGGTTGCGCACTAGGTAGGTACCTATTGAGCTCAGTGGCGTCATGTTTTGATATTTCGGATATTCCGAATAATTCCCAAGACATCCCTAAGAAACCGAATTTTGCCGAAATGGTTTTTATTTTTTTCTGACTTTATTTGAAATGATATCGCAAAATAAACTTCACATTCTCAGTGCCATTTTTTCTCCACTACATGATAATGTTATTAGATTTTTGATCAGACGTTTCGTTTCTTCATGATCATCATCGACTTTAATTATGTTTTAAAATGGTCGAATTTCTTTATTTTATGCCTAATAAATCCTACTTTTTATTCTAAATCCAACGACATATCAAGCTCATAATTCCAGGAATATTAATTGCCACAATCGATTTTCCACCCTTATTTTCTCTATTTTCCACATTTTTCGGTTGTTTGCTTTCCTCAAAATATAGTGGGGCTATAAGACACTTGTGGATTCATTTCAGGCAGCACTGTTGCCGACGTTTCTTGACCGCTGTGGGTAATAGAGTCACTGTAGTTGTGATCCCTTAAGAGTCATTGGTCATTTTGATAGTTTTTAGACTGAAGATTGGGTAGATGTTGATTAATAACTTCTATAAGTAATTAATTAGTGTTAATTGGTCTTGGGAGAGAAAATTTGATAACAACTTTGAGTTTTGTTGGTCATCAATGTGGTTTGGAGTGTTCCGTTTCAAGCTGTTTGTTCCGTTTTCCTAGTCAACACCGGAAATCTGGCACCAGAGGGCAAACTAGAATTCTAGAAAATTTTTCACATTGAAGCTCACCTAATAAATCGCTAAAAAGGAATCGTTCTCTTTTAAATTCGCACGTTGAGCAAACAACAAGTTCTTTGGCAGATTTTACCAGCAGTCCTTCCTTGTCCCATTAACGGGCCTCCGCGCAGTGGCGGATCCAGGGGGTGAGAGTCTCAGAAACTACAATTTTTTTTTTTTTTAAATCATAGATAGAAAATTTTTATAATAGAATTTTCCAATGAAAGTTCATGGAAAAATTTTCCAATAGAATGTTATAGGAAAATTTTCCAAGCTACACTTTTGTTTTTATCAGGTAAATGTTATATTTTTATTTGGAATAGGTATTTTCATTTATTATTTCCGGTTTTTATATATTATGTGCACTTTGGACACTTTTAATAGAAGTGAGATACAAAAAAATCAACTCCCACTCTGAAACTCAAATTCTATATCTTAAACCGTTTTGTGGCTAGAGAATCCAGTGACTTTCTCAGTTTTTTTTAGCTCGATACCTTTAAAAAAATAAATAAAACAAATATAAAAAATTGAGCACGTCAATAAGTTCTGCTTGGAAAAGTACCTCTAGAAAGTTTATACATAAATCAATTATTTTTATAAATAAAAAAGTTAGGAAGTTTCACCTTATCGCTCAAAATCGAGAAACACCCTCTAGCGGCAAAACGGTTGAACGTATCAAAAGGCGATTTGCAGTGTTCAGTTGTTCAGTGGCGTATTTACGATTTTCATCTGGGGGGGGGGCGCCCAACGTAACAATAAAAACAAATAAAATTAATTATCTTTCTTTAGCAGGGATCAAGGTTCATAAAGTTAATGTTAATAGGTTGTCTGGTAATGGGTAGCTTGATGACGCATCTGGGGTGCCTTATGGAGATTTGCATTATATTGAGGCACCCCATACGACGTCATCGAGTTATCCAGGCAACCCAAGGACGATACACATTACTACTACAGGATAGCCTATCTTCATAAAGCTTGTCTGGGACAAATCCGCCCCTCGCCAAATCACCAGTTGTGACGTGGCAACATGTTATTTCTCGCCTTGACGTAGACTCTTTAAACAGCTGACGACTTAGTTATGATGTCGGAAATGGTGACACACCAATATGGCGGCGATTACCAAAAACGGTGCCGATAAGCATATAAGTAAAAAATTATATAACGCGTGTACTCCATTTACGCAATGAGAGGCGTTTGATGCAAAAATGAGTGAGATGGAAATATCATTTCTGCATAAGTCTATCTTGTAGTTCAAACCAGGCTGAGCGATAGACTTATGCGAAGTTGATATATCTGTCTCACACATTTTTGCATCAGGGTACAGCAAGAACACGCGTTATACAATTTTTTACTTATATATGCCGATAAGCAATCCTGTAGATGTGTATCATCCTTGCAGGCAACCTACCTCTCTCAATAATAACCTTGAGCGAGGGTAGTAAAATGAAAAATCGAAACGAAAATTTCCGACGGAAGTGACGACATCAATGTGACGGCTCGAATGTATATTGATCCCCCTGTGTCTCTCTCTCACTCCTATTAGTCCTATTCGCTTTCTTTCATCAGACATTTCTGTCTCTGATGTTTTATGCGTTCAAAATCACCCTGGCACACCACCAGGGTTGCGTTCGAGAGCCTGGTTATTAGGCAATTCAGTCCATCTGTCAGATAGGGAAATTCAATATGGCGTGGCGGCCAAACAATTTTGTTTTGAATGTGTTTTTATGCGTATTTCAAATTATTTTGCTTAGAGTTTTGCTTGCAACTTTGATTTAGACTATTTAATAAAATATTTGTTGACTAGGTACCTAAACTAATAAATCGAGCAGATTCTAGATATTTTTTTCTGTTTTTTGGCCCATATGTGGCCGCCACGCCATCTTGAAAGTCACGTGGTTTGAATTGCCTAATTGGTGGGAAAATTATTCCAATGAGTGAGGGTCCGACACACTTCGGTGTGTAAATCCTCTAGGTTTTCGAACGGTGACCGAGTCGATTATAGTTTGTTAATGTGCTTATTCAGTAAATAAAAATTGAAAATACATTTCTGGGGGGGGGCTCGGGCCCCCTGGACCCCCCCGTAAATACGCCACTGGCAGTGTTTGTACCAATCAAGATTTCATGAAATTTGAGCCTCAGCAGAGTGAGGGGTTCATTTTTTTTGTATCTGGCTCAGAAATTATTGTCGTTTCATATCAAAAGTGTCCAAATCGGACCACCCTGTACCTACATTCTTTAACGTATAGGTAAGTGAAGTAAAAATAAATTTTCAAAAAATCATAAGTGATATAATTCTAAGCCTGCGCCCCCCCCTGAACAAAATCCTGGATCCGCCACTGCCTCCGCGATCTACAGACTACAGAAGTCAACTTTTAATTTTATTGATTCAGCATTCAAAACTCCCTAACTGTTGTTTAGCCCTGAAGATAGATGCCTTTAAACAATAAAGGCGAAACGTCGGCGAGTATTTTGATCGGCTTTTTTTTCCTTCTTCCTTGAAAGAGATGTCGATGGAAACTTAACCACATGACTTTGTACCTACTCTTATAACGAAATGGAATTAGTTTAAAAAACAATCTTAACAGTTTCAAATGAAAATCTTGGGTTTGGCACAAGCACATTATTTTTTTGAAAATGTTGACGGAAAGAAAGTGTTCGCTTAACCACCAGAATCGAGATATTTTTGAAAAATTGAAATCAGATCACAGCCATAATATTTTGGTTTAGATAAAAACTGAAACTGCTCATTATTCATCTCAAAAAACGTTTAATATAGTAATCTGGAAATGGAGTGCCCTTTCCCCTGTCTTCTGGAAGCAACCGCCACAGAGGATCACAAACATTCAAAATTTTCTTGAGCTCTAAAGCCTACTATAGTTTGGAAGAATTCTTTTCTGATGATCAAAAATTTAGGAAAATAGATAAAATCACAAAAACTCAATTAGGTATCTAGTAACAATAACATCAGTAATTAACAATAAGGTAATTGCACTGGCCCCTTATGCGCTGAAACTCTGGATGTCGGGATCAACTGTGGAACAGAAACTCTTACTTTCGTAGATTTTGTTTAGCTTCAGCTTTAGTGTACGTTTTATGTTAGTACCTATGTGTTCTGAAAAATTATAAATATCGAATAAAGAATCCTGAGTCCGCGTCTTCTTCTGTGGAACGCTCTAAACAAGCCAACATAATTATGATAATTGGCGTAACCAGTAAAGAATTTCAGAAGATTTGTATCCATACAATGTACAACCTGAAAAAATGAAATGTAGCTGTTTCAATTCCCCAGAAAAAAACCGAAAAAAATTTCATCATTGTTTCAGGCTCCTATATTCACGTCGACGAGTTTTCCGGTCCAGAAGAACTGGCAGCCTACCTCCATCGGCTAGACAACGACAACACCCTGTACAATTCCTACTTCAAATGGAAAGGCACCGGTGAATTCATCAACACTTACTTCTGGTGCCGACTGTGCGCCATGCTGCACTCGCCTCAAGTTCCTAGACACTACGAGGACGTCAACGATTGGTGGCGAGGGCCTGGAATTTGTACGACCAAGTCGTGGAGAAATGCTGAATTTGTTTAGGTTGTGAATGAATGATGATGATATTTGTTTCAGCAAGGAATCACAAATCTTGGTAATGTTGATGAAAAGTTTAACATAATAGGGATATATTTTGCATACAGATTTATTTCCTAGGAATACCTCTTTACGTACGTATAACTACTAAAAATTCACAATAATTTCTATTTTAAAACGAATTTGCTTTTGATAATTCCGGAGACGAGTTTACTCTGACCAAATTTCTACTGGTAACTGAGCCCAAAGACGAGTTACCAGTAGCTTGAAACCTTTTTTTTCCTGAAACTTTTCCGAGGCTTTTCTGCGTAGATTTCGACGAATTATAATCACTAACATCAGAAACTCCAGGAAGATTATGACAATCGAATAATTTTAAAATTTCCTCCTGATTGGTTAAAGTAGAAGGGGCGGCGCTTCTCGATGCCTCATTGGTTCCTGTTTTCCTCACTCTCTTGGGATTTTCATGTTTAATATAATTCGTCAATCGGCTGTTGGTTTTTTCTAAATTAAGTTTTTGACATTTCGAGTTTAAATTGTCCACTTGAAGCTGTAGATTGAGATTTTCATGCACGAGGCAACTATTTTGTTTCACCAACTAAAAATAAAAATCTAATAAATGATAATTAATTTTTTCATATAAATATACATTATTACATGTAAATATTTTTTATTACTACTGCTACTTGGTGTATTCAGGTGATCTTGTACTAATAATTCATTTAATTTATCTGTTAGTTGGTCTATTTTGATTTTGTAGTCGTTGGAACACTAAAAAGAAAAAAGATACTTATAAAATGATATTAAGAGTTTTATAACTGTTTACTTTTTTATGATCCAATTTTATACTTTTAAGCTCATCTTTCAAAGAACTGTTAGTATTTTTCATTCTTAAAAATTTGATGCCTATGTTATAATTTGCTTCCAATACTTTATTGAGGGTGCCTTTAATCTTTTCTGTTTCCTTTTTGTATGGTTCTACTGCCGCTTCGTTTACAAGGGGATGGTTTTGTGTGGTATCACTTAACGCTTGCTTTAATTTTTTAAATTGATTAATCTCTTGACAATATATTTCTTTTTCTTTAAAGTAAAATTTTCTTTCGTCTTCGAGTTGTTTGAGAAGAGTTTGATTCGATTTTCTTTGCTTTAGTAATTCAATCGTAACTTCTGCTTTTTCCCTTGCCAGGCTTGCTATAGCTACCTAAAAAAGATGCATTTCAAGTTAAAATTTTGTTTAGTAAATTAGTCAAATTACCTCTTTTTTGTCCCTGTCCTGGTTCAATGTATTTATGGCAGCTTTTAACTGCTGAATTTGACTCTCTAAAGCCAAAACCTTATCTTTGAATTGTTTATCGCTAGACATTAAACTACTCATGAAAGGCATTGAATATTCACGACAAATGCATTTTTCGAGTCAAAGAGGTGAATCTGGGAGAAAAAAATCAGTATTATGTAAAAAACCTACTAATAAGTGTATAAATTCTTATAAAACTCCCTTTTTAATGTCAGACTAGATTACTAGATATAACATTGAGACAAACTTTATCAACATTACTTATTTCCACTTTTTATAAAATATTATGTAAAGGCAGAGTCAATACCAATAATTTTATGTTCAAGCGCAGATCAATTCAGAACTGATTCTGAACTAACTCCGAACAAACCTATTCTAAACCTTTTTGGGATTTTTTGACTAATTTTGCTTAATGGCAGCCCTACCCTATACCTAATTTCTACCTATAAATAAATTCAAAAGAAGCAGACAGTTGTCTGCTTAAACTAGTTACCTAATTGATTTTCTATTAGAAAAATTTCATTTAGAAAAAGCGAAACTACAAAAAAAGTAATTAGGAAAAAACGATTGGTAAAAAAGCAACCATAATTTGCCAATAAGTTTTATCTAAACTTCCGAAATACTAAATAATCAATAAACTCACGTAGGTATATAATCAAAACGATTTCCACCACCGACTTCCATGCAAAAACAAACACTGATGTTGAAAATTTCCTAAAACTACATTTTTGACGTTTTTTGACATTCCTGTCTAAAATTTTTAAAGTCGAGCTTCCTAAGGCAATGCCTGCAATGCCTTTTTTTTCTTTCTATAGACTCAAATTTCGAAGAATAAATTCAACACTAGCTGATGAAATTATTTCCCGTAAAAATTACTAGATTAAGATTTAAAAAAACGTTATTCTTATTGTCTCTGTCTTATGACAATCCAAAAAATTTAAAAAGTGAGTCAGAAAAAAATCGATGTCCCTTTATAGTTACGAAATGGAATTTTCAGGGTTGTGTATAGATTGTCCTCGGTAATTCAATTCCTACGTTTTAGGATAATAATTATAGAAGCTTTTTATGAGAAAAATTAAGTTTTATCGATACTTAGTTTAATTTTTATGCTTTAAATAAATTTTAAATAAGAAATTGGCTTATACCTACTTAATTTTATAAGTAATTATATCCAATTTTATTATTTCTATTATGCCTAACCATTTTTGGTTTTATAGAGACCATTTTACATAGGCGGATATTTTGTTTTTGTAGCGTCCCTTTTAGAAAAAACAAAACACTAAAAAACCCAAATTTGTTATTTAGTCTTAATTATTGTGTAGCAACATTTTGTTAATATATGTATGTAATATCATAGACTTTGTAAATAATTAAGAACTACATATTTCTTTTTTAGGTATAACTGGTACAATTTTCTCTCTCTATAAATTCGCAAAATTCACTTATGGCAACAATTTTATTGTTATCGACATGTTGAAACTTTTCATTTTGATAATGGCCTAATTCCGTTTCTACTAATAAGATCCAAGAGACATTCCTATAACTTGTATCTATCGTTGTAATTTTTTTTAATGTAAATATCACAAGCCTTCTTGTATAGTAAGATGTAATTTTAAGTATTAAATTTATATACCAAAAAGGGTGCACAACCAGTATTTTTGCAGCTACTTTTATTGTTCTAAGTTAAACTTTTTATGTTTTTACTTTTTTGTTAATTATATATTATTTTGGGCACAGCATAATTTTGTTCTAGATAAGTGTTTGCATTCTGTGATATTGTGTTTTAATTACCTACATAATTATTATAAAAATGTGTTATGTATTTTATTGAGTTTATATTAAATTTTATTTCAGAATTATTATTTTCAATTTGCTACTTTATATTCTAATATTTATTGTTAGATTTCATTTACGTTGCAAAAGGTTTTTTAGTTTACGCTCAAACTTCTCCAGTTTAATATCTATGTTCTCAATTTGACCAGCAAAAATTTATAAGTTTATCGATTTCTAATAGACAAATCAAAATTGAAATTCTATTATTTCTTGCAATTGAAAGCGCACAATAATTAATTAGTAGGTAGGTATCTTTAATTGAATTATACGTGGTCAATTTCAATTTCTTCATCAATAGTTAAATTCTGTAGTGATTGAATAATCAACTAAAGTTTGCGTCAAATAGTTTGAATTCAGGCACTTACTTAATAACAATTTTTTTTATTATTAGAAAAATTCTATTTATTCTAAAATTGTTCGCATTATAGGGTCTGGAAGATATCTATTAAATGTGATTAATCTAGAAAACTAAAATAATTTGTGTGCAATGAAAATGGAATTAAAAAATTATAATGGTCATTAAGTGAAAATGTTCGATTGTTAATTAATTGTAAAAAAGTATTGATAAAATTTATTAAGTTTTTATTTTCGTGTTTTTTTTTTGTATTTTCCTTCTGCTGTTTTTCTTACTATCATATTCCGAGCCTTTATATCCATTTTCCCCTGTTATGTTGAACCCAAACTCTCCCTCAATTTTTAGGCACAGGCCTTATAAGGAATATAAGGATAGGCCATCCTGTAGTATTTAGGTAGTAGTAGTGTGTATCATCCCTGCATAGTTCCCGCAGGAAAACGTGAGTAGCCCACCCCAATAATTCAACCTATAGACGTGTGCCGACCTAAATTATTTATTTTGGGCTACTGTAGCGATATTTCGTTGCTGCTTAATATTTTGTACAGGGAAAATTGCAATAGATTTCCTATGAAATTAATAGAAGAAAGCGACGTGATGTTGAAATATCCTCGTTCAATGCAGTGTTTCAAGTCAGAATAAAAATACAATAGAATGCGAAAACTCTCGGTGGAGGTGACGTCAGCTGCAATCCTTTATTGTTGCGTTAGTAAACGCAACAAAGCATACACATAAACATAAGCCTTTTTAACGTAATAAAATTTAGAACATACAATTTTACTGTATTGCCAACATAATAGGTCTGTTTGTTATCCTCCACTAGTGCACACTCATTTACACTTTTCTGCACGTTTGTTATGTTACATTACATACGTAACAATCACCTCAGTGCAGAAAAGTGCAAATTAGTGTGCACAAGTGGGAGATAACAAACAGACTTAATGTCATTTTGACTTTCTCTTCTCTTTAAAAGAAAAAACAGATTTTAGATACATCAAATTACAGGTACGTTGTTTTCAGTTTTTTATGATGGATGTTCACCAAGGGTCGGTTTCTCAATAGTTGTATTGATCCTTTCAAGAGCTTGAAACACTCCGCCCTAAGGGCGGTGTAGCGCTACTTTGGTTTTCCAGGAGGAAAGCGGTTGATTTCGGAATTTTCGGAAAACTCGGGCGCCACCCTTAGGATTAATGTGGTTAAGGGCCCACGTGCTCTGGGTAGCTTTTAAACAGTGGAGACGGAAAACCAGGTGTCCCTACGCATTTCCCAAAAATGAAACACACAATCCAACCAAGAAAGTAGTTTTTATTGACTACCCAATAATTTATAATACAAAAAGGAAATGCAAGAAAACTTAATTAAGATACAGGTTTTATAAAAGGAAATGCTAAGCGGAGAGTGAGGGGGAGCGAACGAAGTGCGTGTGCGTGACGGATTAGTCGCGTGAATTTAACGGTTCGAGATTACGGTACGGTGACGGTTACGGTAACGGTTAATCGGCAAAAGAAAGCTCCAGGAACCAGGATCGGTCCAGTATCTACACCGTCAGCTTGCAGGATTAGGCCTTTGGGCCTCGTACGCGAATTTCTTACTCCGAGTAGAATGCAGGTCAGAGAGAATAGGTGTGAAGAGTAAAGAGCACTACCCTGGTCGTATCACAGCCCGTAGCCCTATTTACTCTGTCACGGAACGAACGGAGCTGCCCTGTTTATGTGTTCCAGCCCGCAGTTCCGGTCACTCCGTGCACAGAAGAGAGAAAGAAGAAATACCTGCATTCTTACCCGTACTTACATTAAACGGTCGGCTAACATCTGGCGTCGCGGCGCTGCTGACGGCGGCGGTACTGGCGGCGGCGGTGGTTTTACCTTATCGGTCGGCTGCGGCAGGTCGGAGCGGTCTGGTAGGTCTGGTCGGTTTCGGAGCTCGGAGAGAAGTGACCAAACGCAGTGCGTGCTGCTATATTTATAAGCGGGAGGCACCGCGTCATGTCGTCGTCGATCGGCAGCGCAGATATCAGCGGTGGGGAATTGAGTTTTTGAAGCGCGTCGCGCACGTCGGTTTGTACTGGAGAGTGCTTTGCAACCGAGGTCACGCGTAGCCACAAAATATCAGTAGCAAATTAATTTAATTAACGGAAACGCGGATAAATTAGTAAAAATCTAGTAACCTACGTTACAGCGGGTATTATAAAACTACTTTGAGAGTTAACTTAAAGTTAACTTCTGGAATTACATGTAATTCAAAAAGTTAACTTCAAGCTAACTGTCAAAGCAGTTTTATAATACCCGTCCTAAGCCTAGTACTCATAACAGCGAAATTCGCTCTGTCTTGACAAGAACTCTTTTTACGTGGCTCCGGTTTAAACTAACCGGGTTACAAAACGGTTAGAGAAATGACATACCGTTTTCTAACCCGGTTACAAAGTGACGTGATGAATACCTACCACTCGAATTTGAGCGGTATGTTGAGGTTTGTTGAACCGGAGCCACGTGAAAAGGGTTATTGGTTCGACACTTTGACGTTTTATGCGTGAATCAAACGTCAAATTGTCGAAGCAATGTCAAAAGAGAGCGAATTTCGCGGTTATGAGTACTAAGCTTAGCATGGCAAATGTTAAAATGACATACATATAGCGATTTCCATTTGTCGAACCAGTGCAAAATAAATGTATCCTTATCCTCACATGTTACATACTTTTAGAAAAAGATGCGGATGCACTCAGTGCGCACCAATGAACTATAGCTAAAAACTGGAATGCGCACACATTGCCATATCTGCCAAAAAATGAAGCCATGAAAGACAGATGCCACAAGGGGGAATGTTGTTTTTTTCTGTTGCTCGCTGACATATGACGTTTTCAAAAGTTTTGTCATATTTCCCTTCACAGGTTTCATCAATTGGAATACGTGTTGGAAGCAATTTTCGCCATTTAACATAATAAGTGCGACAAAAACAGGTATCCCCTCCGCAGCAGCCGCACTAGGCTTCACGTTCGTCCTTATGGGTTAGCATTCCAGTTTTTGGTTATAGTTCATTGGTGCGCACTGACTGACAAATGGAGATCGCCAATAATCTGAGGCGTTTTCTCGCGTCCACTTTTTTGAAACTGGTTCAAAACTGTTTCGAAATAGTACATTTTCGCGATAAACCCATGACGTCACGTCAAAACTGGTTCAAACCGTTTCGAAATACAATCCAATCCACGTTTTAAAACCATTTTCTCGCGCTGAGAAATTATGACGTCATGGTGACATTACTTAAACCATTTTTGAAAAATGTTTTGAAACATTTGAGACGCGAGAAAACGCCTCTGATCTGATTATGCTCAGATGTGTGAATGGTGTCATACTCCCCTAGCTCCCTCATCATATAATTCTGGGCTTGCGTGTGACGTCACTATCAGCAGCTTTCAGTGATGACGTCACCCGCAGACCTCGATGGAATGCTTGCGATTGAGGCTGTGCTAGTGAGTTAATTTTTTCGTCGATCTTAAATGTAGAAAAGGTGACTTTCGGTCTGTTCTCACAGAAGAAACTGCGTTTTTGACCTACCTTAAGATTGAAAAATTATCACAAAGGCATTTTCTCGCGTCTCAAATATTTCAAAACTGGTTTAAGTAATGTCACCAAGACGTCATAATTTGTCGGCGCGAGAAAATGGTTTGAAAACGTGGATTGGATTGTATTTCGAAACGGTTTGAACAAGTTTTGACGTGACGTCATAGGTCTATCGCGAGAATGTACTGTTTCAAAACAGTTTTGAACCAGTTTCAAAAAAGTAGACGCGAGAAAACGCCTCTAATCTTAACAAACAAATGTCAAAAATGGAAAACAAACCAAGACTGAGTTCGGCTTTGCACTCCACGGAGCGGAACGGTATGAAGCATGAGCATGGATATCGTGACGTCATACGCGGTCATAGATAAGCCCAACGCAAAATAGAACTCTCTGAGAGCTAAAACGAACAGGATCTTATCGCTTCGAGCGCGCTCAGAGTTTACAGAGTGTAAGCCGAACTCAGCCCAAAACCACCAAAGTTTTTTGATCAGAGTGGTTAGGTTACGGAACGGGAACCGGAAAAACCAAGAATCTTGATTAACTTGCGAAACGTCGCCTTAAAAAGACTTGCCGTCCTTGCTGAACTTTCCTGAGTGCTTATGGAGTTCTTAGAGTACACCACGGAGCGGAGTCAACAAGCCGAAACTTCGCTAGCTAACTAGCTCGCGAGAAAACGGCTTTGGGCTGGCTATGTTCTCCTCTCTTGTGGTCATTCCGTAGCGAGTCCGAACGGCATCCATACAGTGGCTAAATAAACCTTTACATACAGTGGCGACAATAGAGGTCCCGCCGCCATCTTGTTCCCAACCTCTTGTTACTTTTAAATATTTATATATAGGATTTAAATGGACATCTATCATAAAAAATTGAAATCGACGTATTTGATGACCAGTATTAGGTCCATCAAATACGTTGTTTTCCATGATTTATGATGAATGTTCACCTAAATCCCATATATTCATATTTGAAAGTAACAAGGGCTTGGGAACAAGATGGCGGTGTTTTCAATATAAATATATGCGATTTTAGAACCAATCAAAAATGAGACAGCAATTGTCGCCACTGTGGGTTATAAAGTCACTGTAGGCATCCAGTAAATTCAGTACTGACAGTTGATATCGGAACATAGCCTTTCTTATCTTCGTTGACAGATGTCATGTCAGTGAAATTTGTTGTTGATGGTTTTGTGGTTATGGGGTGGGGTGGGGTGAGTTGTTAAGTAGCTGGAATGTTGGAATTTTCATTTTGTGGTGCGGAACGTTGGAATTTGAAAAGTAACAATGCCCAAAACTTTGTTTATCTTATTTTTGTACCAATAATTCATGGTTAATGTTCCTTTAAAATCAAGAAAATTCTTGAAGCCATGGAAGGAATGATAATAAAACAGGAATACAAACAAAAGGTGGAACAAGAAGAAACTACGATTTTCTCTCCAGATGAAAATATCCAATTGATCCAGATAGGAGATGGAACATACACTTACGTAATTGAAAATCCGGATGATATTAATGAAGACGAAGTGATCCAGTATGATTTATCTGAAGACGCTTCGAATCAAGAGCATTTTTTTATTGAAGAATATGATGGAAACTATGAAGAGGAATCCCAATTTGAGACCGTTTATGTTGAAACGGGAGACTATCAACCTCAAGAGGAAGAGATTTATACAATTTCAGAAGAAATCGAAGAAGAGCAAATCCCTATTGTTGAAGAAATTGTAGAGGAGCTTCCTGTACAAAGCTCAGAAAATTATGAAGTCATTTATGAATGCAGTATTTGCCGTAAAGGTTACAAAACATCTGCAGTAAGTAAGCATTTTAATTAAATAGGTCTGTTTATGCAGAAATCACAAACCAGTTAGAGTGAATTTCATTGGTTGAACTAGTTTTCTGACTGTTTTCAACCAATGAAATTCGCTCTGACTGGTTTATGATTTCTGCAGAAACAGACCTAATAATATTTGGTATTATAAAAATCTTAAAAAAATAAAAAATTATTCACTCAGCTGGCAGGAAGCCAGCTGATTCTGTCAGATTAGCTATGACCAAGGTTATTAGACCAAATAATTAGCCTATCCAAGGTTGTTTGAAAGATGTATTTTAGGTTGGCTGATAACTTTTATGACGTCATCTAGGGGTGCCTAAACATAATACAAATATCCACGAGGTCCTCCTGATGACGTCATTTGTTTAGCATTACCTGCTACTACAGAGAATATCCCCATTATTAATGGCCGTTTGCACCAACCTTTTTAAGGGAGGTTTAACGATAATCAACGTTTAAAGTGACATTTTTGCATGTGAAAATGTCACTTTAAACCGAGCTTTAAACGTTTGTCGGTGCAAATGGCCATAATTTAGGAACGTAGGCTGTGTTCCGTTGCTAACCTTGGTTACGGAGACACTGGGTTACACATTCCGTAATGTCTGGTTCCTGAAAAATCAGTCTATACGGAACGCGGTTGGTTATGTCAAAAATGTCACCAAGGCAACCGGCAGCGATTCTGCGATTGGAAAAGCGTTCGGTATGAAACCGCCAACAACCACTTGTCAATCGTTGTCAACCGACGTTGTACCAACCAGTTAACTGTTAGGCAATGGAACCCACCCGTAGTCTATCCGAAACAGGTGACTTTGACAAGCAAAATATGGCCGACAGAAGGCACACAAACCATAAGGTTAATGTTAATAATCATAAGAAGGGAGTAGGGAGTATTTTAATTCTGATAATGAATTATTTTTAAAACTTGACAAATGTCTCGATCCCCACGACTTCTCTACTATTAACACTTGTATTTACATACACTATTTTTAACATTGATAAAAACAACAATTTTAAGTATAAGAACGCAACTAATTCACAATTAGCACTCTCATAACACCATTTGATAACACATAAACAAAGGCTTTTTGTGCCTCCTGGCGGCCATATTGATTTTCTTGTAGTCCCAGTTAGCAAATATTAGGCAATTTTTCGTGAGGATAACCAAGCATACTCGATTATGCTCAGATGTTATGTGTCCATTGTGTCATACTCCCCTAACTCCCCCGATATCAAAATTTGGGATACTCGATATTCCAGAACACTTAACTTCTTCTGTGAGAACAGACTGAAAATCACCTTCTCTACATTCAAAATCGACGAAAAAAATCAACTCACTAGCACAGCCTGAACCGAAGCATTCCATCGAGGTCTGCGGGTGACGTCATCACTATAAGATGCTGATAGTGACGACCCTCGCAGACCCAAAAATTGCATAAAGTCTGTTTTTTTTAAAAGTCAAAATGACATTATGTTGGAAATACAATGCTTTCAATTTTTTTATGTAGAAAAGGCTTGTGTTGCCAACATACCTAGTTACTAAATTTCTGACTTGGGGAATTATCTTTAAAAAAAAACAGACTTTATTTTTATTTGTAAAGTCTGTTTTTTTTAAAGATACCTAACTCCACAAGTCAAAAATTTAGTAACTATGTTGGCAACACAAGCCTTTTGTGCATAAAAAATTTGAAAGCATTAACAATTTTCATTGTATTGCTAACATAATGTCATTTTGACTTTTATCTTTTTAAAAAAAAACAGACTTTACATTTTTCTAAACTCTGTTCCATGCATTTCAACAAAAAAGCTGTGTTGCCATATTTCAATAACCAACTCAAATGAATATTTGGCATTTAGGGGTCTTCTTAAATTTTACAAATGCATTTTTTTTTTTTTTTCTGAGCTTATTTGAAGAGATATCCCAAAATAAATGTGACTTCATTCATTCACTTTTTCTCCTCTACAACATGCTATCATCAAATTTAAAATCTGAAGTTTTTTCTTTGTGCCACCATCATCAAATTCATTTTCAATACGGCTCTTGATTTTCTCCTTCAGATTTTAGGAGCTTCAATTATCCCAAAACCAATAAAGTATCGCAGTTATTCAAAAATTTATATTTTCGTGTGCATTCCACTAAATAAACAAACTTCTACTTCTTTTACGATTTTTTTGCTTACTGTTTCTCGTTCTTTTGGTGTTTTGAGTTTTTTTTTTTCACCATTTACGGCCATGTCTATCTCTGTGGCAATTTGGTAGCTATTCATGTTCATCAAATGATTTTTGATGATGAGGACGAAGACGAGAGGAAGCTGGTCCTTCTGCAAAGATTGAGGGCTATGCAGAAGAAATCGTGTTACGTTTTTCTAAGCTACATTTCAAGAAGCACTTTCGGATGGTTTCAGCAATTTTCAAGGATTTCTTACAAAAACCTCATGATGTGAGCAGCAAAAATGTAAAAGATAACTATGGTATGGTAATGAACTGGGAAACTCGATTTCGGTAATTTTTGCAGAAAAGCGCCTGAGACATTGTAGGTTTTTACATTGAACATATGCGGCACAAGTCTACCCGCGGTATTTACTTCATGTTGCATGTTGCATATTTGATGTTTCTCTGGTGTACGACCGCACAGTGGAATGTCATTGCACCTGCCACACAAAACCAATATTTTTGATTTTACTACAGAATTGTCATTCACATTTTGTCTGTCAAATAAAGTTTGGGTTTCGAAAAAGAAAACAAGCAGATGGCACAAAAACAACCAAAAAGAGACCCTGATCGTTATTATTATTTCGACACCCCAGATGGCCAGGACGTTATGAAGAAGTTGTGGTACGTTGTGAGACCCGCCCTTCCCGTAGCCTCACTAATCGGAATAGGAGATGTCATGCTCCACAGTTACCCCAAAGGATATTTGAACAGTGCCCGCAGATTTGCTATAATAAGTGGCGCAATTTTGGGCATAGCCAGTACCTTTGTCCTAGTCACTAATGGCCTGACCATCTTAAGAAAAAAAGACGACAAACTGAATTGGTTTGTGGGTGGTTTTGTTACTGGCACTTGTGTAGGGCTTATGAGACCCAATCTAATGTGGAGCTTCAATACGGGCATGTTATTTGGGATTTTGGGGGTGATCACAAAAGAATGTGATCAGCAAGGGTACGAGATTATACCTTCTAACCCACGACGTTCGCGTAGAGGAGGCTGTATTTCTTGTCTGAGTGATTGCAGTCTTACTGCAGAAAGGCCCAGGAACTGGATCACTGGGACTGAATCATCTTAATTTATTGATATTATAATTAAATAATTTGTATGATAAACATCTAATAAAGTAAACTATATAAAAATTGTAGTTTTATGGTCAAACTTAAAGCAATGTATTGATATTTTCATTATTCTTTTGAAACTAAACTTTGATAATTTATTTTAGGGTGTAAAAAGGCACATAAATGTTTCTCATTGTGAGAAATATACGGAAAAGGAAGACGAATTGCAATTCTCTTTGTGTCATTGTTGCGGAGAACCATCAGATTCAGCTCATACGGTAATAATAATTAAGATCAGGGTTAGGAATAATATGTATTATTATACATGTGAATATGGTAGGTATATATGTACACCACAAAATAAAATAATTTTCTTAGTAAAAATAACTTTTCTATTTACCAATTTTAATAATAATTTACTAATCAGCTTATTTAAGAATTTATTCAACCAAGATCATTTCATACCTTTTTCTATCCACTTGCGAAGTTTTAATCCAATCCCTCAAACATTTTCTTCAAAGAAAAAATAAAACGTATAATTCCCAACCCTGATGATTGAAGCATTTGATTTTTTCTGAAATTGTATTATTTTAGACAGGTGACTTTGAGTGTGAAGCATGCAATAAGTTATTTATTTTGAAAAAATCCTTGGACCGGCACAAGTGTATCGAACATCCTCATCCTGTAGACAATTTCGAGTGTTACGATTGCAAAAAAACCTTTTCCAGTAAGTTTAAGCAAGACTTTTTTCAAGCGTTTTTATTCAAATGTTGTTTTTTAGCCAAAGAACTTTTAATTGAACATATCAAAGTGCACTCGTTGCAATCGGTAAAGTGCGAGGGATGCGGCAAAGAGTTTTCCAGAAAGTTTCATTTGGCAAGGCACCTCGAACAGACTGAGTGTTTGGGACAGCCTAAGCAGGGTTACGAGTGTAGGGTGAGTAGACATTTTTTAAATTCTGGTCACAATTCCAACAAACTTTGAATAAACTGTAATTTCAACTGTTTTTTTCGTGGCTCAATGGTAATTACAGATGTTGCGATTGTGATAATGTTGAGCTGCCTTTAATAACATACAGAAATTACAATTTTTATTCAAAAATATTTATATTTATTAAAAAAAGACATTATAATTTTCGACAATAAAGCTTTTTTGAAATTGAAATATCTCAGAAACGAACAAGATTTGGCAACCCTTTGAACTCACCTCCAGTGGTATCACTTAAAACGGACTTTAACTCTTGAATTTCAGTTTTCTTCCACATTTAAGAACATAGAATAAAAAATGTTAAGATTTTTTCTTTCTCGAATTCTCCCTGTCAGTTTCAACTTTCAACTTTGCTAATTATAATCTTGGACTCTGAAGCTATTTTTGTTTTGCTTTAGGTATGTCAGAAATCGTTTACTCGTAAAGACAATCTAGCGGCACACCTTAAAGGCCACGCTGGACTAACGACGAACCGCAAAAAGAAGCATAACACTTGTACGTTTTGCCGCAAAGAATTCAGTACAACGGCCTTGTTGCAAATCCACGTTCGCACTCACACAGGTGAAAGGCCATACGGCTGCGACATTTGCGACATGAAATTTCCCTCTTGCGGTGCGATGAAAAAACACCGACGTACCCATACCGGAGAAAAACCGTATTCGTGTCCGGAATGCGACAAAAAATTCGCCGCCAAAGAAACTCTGAATCGTCATTGGCGGACTCACACGGGAGACAAACCCCACAAGTGTCAGTTTTGTGGAAAATCGTTCATTCAAGCGGTCCAACTTCGAGCGCATATTTTCCATCATACTGGAGAGAACGCTTACAATTGCCGTTATTGTAACAGAGCCTTTAATCGCAAATCACGTCTTACTACTCATATTAAGTTTGTTCATGAGGGCGCCGAACGTTTGTCTTGTCCCAAAGAAGGTTGTTCCAAATTATTTTTTCGTCAAGAAGACATACAGCGCCATTTACTATCACATAGTGGCCAAAAGCGTAAGTAAACTTGTTTTACGATGAAACATATCAAATGATTTTATTTTAGCTCATGTGTGTAATGCATGCGGCAAAACATTTTCAATAAAATCTTCATTAAAAGCACATTTAAACGTCCACAAAAAAGAGTCTCCAGTTATTTGTGAAGTTTGCAATAGAGCCTTTTTGAGAAAAGACTGTTTAATGAGGCACATGCGAACAAAACATAGAGACGTGCTCGAAGATGTTATGGCCAATGCGGAAAAAAAACGACTTCAAAGTCAGCTACTTCAAGCTATTGCTAATCAATCTATCGACAAAGAGGCCTTAAAAGAGACAATCGTCTGGAACGAATTGACTTTTACCGATTCCATCAAGGAGTTGTTGGAATTATTAGTCGATGAAGATTGTTTGGAGGAATTCGGTCACCCAGAAACGCCTGTGGATAGAGTTTTAGATTCGGTCATACGACGGTGTGGCTATATTCCCGCAACCCAGTGCGATTATTTAACAAAGATGCGAGAAAATGCCAAATTATTGTTTGCAGTAGTCATTGATGATGAAACAGCGAAAGACCTTCTTGAAGAACACACTGTTGATGAAATAATTTTGCACTTATTGAAGTTAGCTAGGAAACAAGTTGTCTTGAATGAACAAGAGGATAAGTTGGTAACTGAAAAATTAGAAGAAGATGTAGATGATCCAGATGATATAAAAGAATTGTAAAATTATTTAGGTATTGTTTAGGATTAAACCAATTTTAAGTTTAGTGCTTTCTAAGTAATAAAATATAACATTTTTGGTAGCTTTTTTTTAATTATTTATTGGCCAGAAATGCGAATTTCATTGTCTTCATTGAAAATTTGGAGATGTTATGGCTTGGTTGTGGGTATCTGATAAGTAATAAATACAAACTTTAAACTGCAAGACGTGCAAAATGATTGTTTGATATCTTCTAGATCCAGTCGGTGAAATTTATAGTAGGTACATATTTTGAAAGAATGTCGCTTGTTTGAGATCTTCAGAAAAAAAGTCCGGACATTTATCGATTTTTACGAGAAAATAAATATCAAATGTTATACTTACTTTCCGTCATAATGTCAAGATCGAGAATAACAATATATAATCAAAAATGTCAACCAAGTAGCCTTAAAAAAATAATAAAATCCCAAAGTTTTCTCCTACGTTTCCAATGTTTGAAGCAGAAAAGATTCCAGCATTTTTCCATACATAAAACGAAAACAAATTGCGCACGCACACCATCTATTGATCCAAAAACGTTGAAATAAACATTCTCAACCTTCATGTAAATTTTCTTGGTAGGAGAAAATGATCTCCCTTTATGCTCTTTTATTAATTTCTGGTCTCCATTTATCGATGATCCCGGCACAGTCAACTACGACGATTCCGCCGACAACAAATAAAGGTACAACTACCTATACATTTCCAGAATTTCCATACAAGGAATCCAAGAAAAATGTGAGTAAACTCTGACTTTATACTAATAATCAATTTTTTTTTTTTTCGCCTGGTTAAAACCTTAGGTAGTTAGGACAAAAAAAACCTTTTAAATTTCAAAAAATGCCGACGTTTCGACTTTATTAAAGACTTTTTCAAAAAACATCAACATTCTTTTCTTGTGGTCAAAATTACTAACCCAAACTAACCCAAACCAAAAGGAATCAATATTTTCAAAAAAACAATCAATTTCAACCAAGGTAAGAACTGGCATGACCTTAAACCTACAGATCTTTGTACATTTAGGTAGGTACCTGTCTTCAATAAAATCTCAGGCTTTTCTTCCAAAAATTTCAATTCTTTATAACCAACCTGAAACAGTGGTTAGACTTCAAAATTTCAGCAAATTGTTTTTTTAGGAAGCCACATTTCGAGAGGTGGAAGCGGCCTGCGAAAAAGGATGTTTAGGCAAAAGCGGCCTGTCAAAAGTCACCTGTATTCGTCAGTGCGTTTCGCCATCTTGTTATCGAGATTTATACCAACAAGATCTGGTAAGGTTTATGACTGATTAATAATAAGATTTCCACTTTTATCATCATCAATTATTTTTATATTGGGATCCACTCGACTGCGCCAATAATGACAAAACAACTGTCTTTGACACATTCCAGTGAGGTCCAAATAATCATTAATAGCTAATACAAGTACATAAAGTAAGGCTTTATTGTACGGATAATTTTAAATTAAATATTAAGTCAATAAAGCCTGTTTATGTTAGCGTCATATACGTGTCAATACGTGATTTTATGTACGATTGTGACTGGTTTTTATTGAAATTTAAAAAATTGTAAGAAATAAATAAAATATGAGTATACCTGTTTCACCTTGGCAGGTTGTCAGGTAGTCCAGGTAGGCAATAAAGAAGCACTTTATTTTACAGTGCTACTTTATTGACACATTTATTGGTCAATCGGACATAAAACTTTTTTTTTCAACTTACCCATTAATTTCTCATAAAAATATCATTGAAAAAAACTCTGAAAAGGTGATCTAATTGTTTGCTTTAAGTTTGCTTATTTTCAGCTGGAAGAAGGTGAGGTGGATGTAAGACTAAACTCTTTTAAAGGATGTTTTATTCAACGATACAACAAATCTCGCCCGTAAAGTTGGCTAACACCGATTATTTTATAGTTAACAATTTAAATTATTACATTTAGATTAGTAATAATAATATCTATACTTTGTTTTTTTTTTAAATTTATTTTGGGAACCCACAAACTCACAGTTTAAAAATTGAGAAAAACTTATGTCACCAAAACAGAATGAAAATTTTAATTTTATATTTTAATGTAAATCTATACCTTGTTCAATAATGAAGTTAATTCTAAATTGGTGACATTACAAAGAATAAAACTGGATGTATTAAATAGTGGCAAATAATAATAAATTAAATGCAACATTCTAGTGCTCCAAGTATTTACGTCCAGTTTTTTTAGAGCCACAACATGAAAGATGTAAATACAAATTTTCAATTATTTTTCTACGCTACAATTAGTTTACACTTATAGTTTTCTTGTTGAATAAAATTGTTGGGAAAAAATGGTTTTTATTTTACAAAAGTACTTAACAGTAAGTATAACTTAGTTTTGATTATTAAAAAGCTCCATTAACTACTTTTTTCTGCATAATTTAATATGCCTACATAAAAAAAAAACTTCCAACCATAACGAATAACTACAACTTTCGATATATTTTTTTTCTTCTAAGCAATTGTCTGTTGAATTGGTTAATTGAATTTCGGTTTAATATTCGAATTATTATTAAACAAAAAAAAACAAGCATTTAAATGGATTGGGTGGCTACATATTCAATAGTAACACAATTCAACAAACGATTTAGGATTTTTCTACAGAATAATTTATATAATTATGGTTTTCTAGATAGTTTCTGGTTTCCTGAAGTGGGAGAATACACATAAAACTTGACAACGCTGTAAAAAACGAAGTTTTTTGAGATTCATATGGACTGTTCTCACAGGTCAAAAACCGTCCCATGAACGGTTTGGAAATCCAATCTTTATACAAATTTCAAATTCTAGGCACAAATTTTAAGCTTTGCACAGAATCGTTGTACGATTGTACGGTTTCCTGCTCTTGACAACAATGCATTGGGCCAAGAAGAAATTAATGGAAATTCTCTATAAATCTTTATGCTGATCGAGAAAAATACAATTTTCGTTCGACAAAATAAATTTTTCCAGATCACTCTGTAAATAACAAATTTTTCTGCCTCTATTCTACAATGGATTATGGGCCCAGAGCCTTAAGACTTATGAGATGACGAATTTAATAATTTAAAATAAAACCACAAAGCAACATAAGTTCGTTGGAAATCGATTTTTTGGGTAAAAACTTCAACACATAACGATGTTATGTTAATGCAAAATATGAAGAACTGGCAGAAAATGCATGCTATGGTAAAGTGTCACGTATATATAAATTCCTTTGAATTAGTACATATATCACAAAATCAATTCAAAATTGTACAAATGTAGAAAAATCCTAAATGCAGTGGATTATTACTACTAAACAACCTAATAATTATTATTAAAACTTTACATATCACAATTAAAGTAACATTTAGGCATCAGAAAAATACCCATAACTAACCTGCTACAATATCAAAAAATAAATAAACCCTATGTCCATATTAATTTATTCTACTATATAATACATATATTGATTTTTTAGTAGTTATATCAATTTATAGACAGTACAGATCTCTCTATTTACAGATTTTTTTGCTTTGAAATGATAGGGTGAGACCCTTTATATTTTTCAGAAGTCATGTTTATTGTAAAACTAATAAAAATTCTAATATATTATCAACACCCTGGTTTTTGACCACAATACCTTTTTTTTTTTCAAATGACAATCTATCTTGGTTAAAATGGTACTAATCCGATTTTTGATGATTTAGTTAAAAAGTTAATATTGGGAATTAATAATTGAGGTATTAAAATATTCTAATTCTACTTAAGTTCTAGATAAAATTTAATTCTGTACATTAATAATGGGAATATTCTCGATTTTCTCATTTCAAAAAAGGCGGAAAATAGTTGATACTGAATATATTTTATGGGTGTTTTTGAAAAAAACCCATATAAAAATAAGGAACAAAAAAATATTGTTTTATTTTTTGGCTCTGTTACATCTAAGGTGAGGTGCTTTAATAACAACTGTAATTATTATACCAATAAGCATTAAAAAAACTACTCAATGGTTCTAGTTCTATTGGTAATTGAAAATACAATATATAAAGTTACTAGCTGTTAATGGGTAGTAATTCTATAAATCGCATTTTAAGATAAAAACAATATCTGGTCCAAACACCACAATACTACTACACGGAAGAATAAAAATGTCTAAAAAAATAGTATATTTTACAATACAAAGTACATATAGGAGGATTTATTTCAGACCGCACTCACGTGAACCGAATTGTAATTACCTTCATTACTTGAATCCAAAATTCCATCAATGGTGACCTCGGTTAATGTGTCTCCTTGAGAAATGTTTTTGGTTTTGTGTTTTTTCGTTAGACCCGGCAACTTCGGAAGGTGTTTAAGAGCACTTACAGTTTTGTTTTTCGCCTTGTCGTTTTCTTCTTGCTCTTCCGTTATCGAATCTAGAGTCGCATCGGCTTGTTGCTGATCAACTTGTATTGGAATATCATCTTGAAATAATGGAATTTTTAACATTTTGTTATGATAATTATACTATCTTGAACATAGTCATTGAGTTTTGAGATAATGGGATGGTAATATTATTGTCAATAGTAGTTTTATGGAGTTTTTCCTAAGTTGAATAAATATCTCAGATCTAGTGAAAACAAAAAAATAGGTCATGGACTCAGCAAGCTTGAAGTAATTGAGTAAAGTAACAAACATTTGAAAATAAAGTATAAATCAAAGATGTGGCAGGATAAAGTAATACATTTGATATTGAGCTGTTAAATAAACAATATTATCAAGTCAAGAAATGAAGATATTACTAGAGAAAACAGATGTAAAAGAATCAACAGACAAAAAATTTAAAGCTGCAGATTATAGTGATGAAAATAAATTGCAAGAAGCCAAGAAACGAGATGTAAATCATATATTAAACAAAAAACAACAAAATTCTTTATTAGGATAGACAATATTGCTTACCCGGCAATTTTTTCGTCCTAAACGAAGCATTCGTTATCATAGATTTTGATACAGCATGAGTATGGGATGGCCTAGAGGTCACTGCTATTGACGGCGAATGCTGCAGGAGATTCTTAACAGCATTGGCTGCCAATAAAACATCTAAAAAACTGCCAATAACTTCAACAATTCAATGATACCTGTTTCATTTTACCTGGAAAAGTTTCATAAGTAGCTCGTTGAATGATATCGTATAGGGCCTGAACAGCTCCACTAGCGCACCTTTCAGCTCCGTGATAAACTATGTGAAGTAATTCTATAAGTAAAGGTCCAGCAATTTGAACACGTGGTAAAATACTGACTGGTTGATGAAAGCTACTATCACTAGCTACTGAACTTCGGTTACTACTCGAGTTTGATGTATTAAAGCCCTGAGTAACTAACCTAAAATATATTTATTAATAATACCCAACAAAATATAATTTAAAAAAACAAAACTCACCTAGATATTCCCCTACAAGTAAATTCAATTCCTTGAGTAATTACATTGGCTAATTGTTGATTGTACAAAAATAAAAGTGCCGTGACGACTCTCTGTCTGTTCTGAGCATTTAATGTTTCTACTTGAGGCAAAGGGCCCCAGCTAACTAACTTTGTATTGCACTCTTCCCAGCGTCTTAGGGAACTTTCAGCTATGAAAGCCGGTTCCAGGGTGGTAGAATCGTGGTATATGGAGGACTGGGCTATACTAGGGATTCGAAAGGATAGGGTGCGGGGTTGGCCTTTGGCATCGATGACCTGAAAAAAATTATTGGGGAATCAGGAATTTTGTTTAAACAGTGATCACTAAAAGTCAAAAGATAATAAGACCACAAGGAAACATGGTTATAGTTAATAATGATTCAATGCAACTTCAACCAACTAAATTTTTGTTTATTAGAGTTTCTTGAGACTTGAAGGTTCATTAGGTTTTTCTTTCCTAAATAAAAAAAAAAGTTTCAGAACCCGAAATGGAAAAAATCAAAACCTTGAAGTTGTACCAAATCTCTCATCTTCATAAATAACATCCTTAGTGTTTGAGATAGAGTAGAGACGAGAGTAGAGATAATCGGTTTAAGACTTTAGAAATAAAACTGCCTTTTTTTAAAAAAAATTACTCAGTCGCGGCTGTGTTTGCCAACTTAAGCTGGATTTATACAGCAAATAAAATAAAATAAGATAACATAAGATAAAATAACAAATATATTGTCGGGAATTAGCCAACAACAGAAAAATAATTCTCCGCCTATGGTTATGACTTCCCTATGGCTTGCCTAGTCTCAACAGTTCCAGTTGAATCCTCCTCTGTATGAATGGTGGGATTTTGGAAGTTGACGTAGTGCCAATGGGAGGACAACAGGATTACATCTAGGAGAGTGGGGATGTGTATGAGGGGCGAGTTTTCCGCTAGTATTCTTGCAGACTAAGCTGGAAATGTGCTAAGTCCTAAGCTCTAATTTTATGATTGTCTCATTCTAACTTGTGTTTTAGGGATTAAACATGTTATTTATTAATTTTGTACAAATGGTAACAAATCATGGTACGACACTGAAGGTAGGATAGTGAGGGTAATTTTCCTGATGAAAATTTTGTATAAAAATGCATGTTGGCGTAAAGTGGGTAGCTCTTACTTAACTCTTAGTGCAGAAAGTTACTCTGCTAGTTTGCATTTTGAAATTAATATAGCTCAGTTAAATTTATTCAAACTAGTGATGGAAGCCTACAACTTTATTCCGGAAAAACTCTACTTTCCGCCAACACCGTAAGTGGTATTTTATTTATTATTTCTTTCTCAAATTGTAAGATTTAGAAGTTACATATTTTTGTCTTATATTTAATCCCATTATTCTAGCAAGTAAGAACTTATTTGAAACTTATGATTATCTTTATTATTTGAACTCAATATCCAATTATCTATCAAATAATTATATTTTCGCTTCGCTCATCTTATAGAAATAAATTTGATTTAAACTGATTATCTAGTTTCTTTTGAATTAATGGTTATTAGAAGTTTTGGATAAGAAAACAAGGAAGATCTTGGTAAGAAAATATATAAGTATATTTTCGTTTTAGGATCGGATTTCTAACAAAAGTCCGACCCGACAATATAACTAATGCATTTCTTATTTTATTTGTTATTTTCTGTATAAACACTTTAAGGGTATCTCATGAGCGAGCTCATGAGGTTAACTGTTATTTCTTATTTTATCTTATTTTATGTTATTTGCTGTATAAATCCAGCTTTATTTGTTACCTAGGTGTTTATTTATATTTAAAAAAAAAATTAGAATGATTTTGTGTGTCCCTTTATATTTTGGAATGTTTTCCACAATGATTTTTTATGTCAAACACCCTTGCTGTGAAGAAGACCAAATATATAGTCGAAAAGTCGGCATATATTTTTTTTTCAAAAAAGGGAGTTTTATTTCCAAAGTCCTAAACCCATTATCTCCACTCTATTGGGAGCTCTATTGTTGTACCAAATGTCAGTCAAATGTGTAAATTTTTAATTTAAAATTTAACTTTTTTTTCTGAACCAATGCATGTTCTGTTAATACTGGGAATTCATTGAGCAATGATTAGAACTATACATAGGTTCAATCCAAACAAACATTTCTAAATTCGATGGGTTGAACCCTTGATTGTTGAACCTTTGGACCAAAACACAAGGTCTTATTCAACACCTAAATACAAAATAATATGTTCTAATTCTTACCTCAAGGTTATATAAACTAACTAACAAGGTTTGTACTGCGGAATAGGACTTGTCAGTTAAATGTAAGAACACAAGAATGGGTATAAATTGCATGGCAAACTTTCGCAGCTGGGGCTCACCCGATCTGTAGAAGTTTAGCAGTTGCTGACATATCCCATCTATTAGCTAAAAGAAAAAAATTAAAGAAGACTGAAGGAATCAACAAATAATATTTTCAAGTAGGTAGAAATGAATGAAAAAAGTTGAAAAAACTTACATTATCAGATTTATATTTTTGTGGTTCAGATAGGATATTATAGAGAGCTATCATAACTTCCTGATTATGTTCTTGTTCCGTTGAATATGTATGTATTTCGCTTTCAATTAACGATTCAAATTCGTCCATCCATTCAAAAACCAGTGAGTATGCCATTATTGTCTCCTTGAAAAAAAAAATATTTATAATACAGACACCGGACACCGATTGATTTGTTGATTGTTATCCACTCCACCAAAGGTATAACTAATTAGTGCATGACACACTATTATTTGCTAATTACTATTAGGTATTTAACATTAACAATTAATTGAAAAATTAAAAAAATTACACCAAAAAAATTGTCTAAAAGTGACAAGACAACCGATTAAACGAAATGTCATTTCAGATAAATTGTGACGTAAGTCACAATAGTTGTATTCCTTTCACACCTAGGAGGAGCTCCGGAACAGCTCCGGGGTTTCACGCGCTTATTCCTTTCGAAAAGTGTTTGTTGCACCACGCATCTGTTCCTTGTAAATCGGGGGCTACTAAACACCGGAGCGAGTAGCTCAAGTGTTTCAAACTCTTGAAAGGAATACAACTAATCAAGGAACGCTACGGATTGCTTATCGGCCTCGTTTTCTTGTTGCACCACGCATCTATTCCTTTCAAATCGGGGGCTACTAACACCGAAGCGAGTAGCTCGAGTGTTCTCTTGAAAGGAATAAATACGGAGAATTTGATTGGTCGACAGGCCGTGGATTCCGGTTTGGAATCCACGGGGCGTGCAGAATTCGTATTATCACATATATAATCAGTTTAATATGGAGCAAGAATGAATGTATTATTTATTGTTTGAAGAGAAAACACTATGCAAAAGCCAGCGGAATCGTAACCTGTGGTGCAAACAGCTTACGTCAAGGCGAGAAACGACTCGCCACAAGTCACAACTGGTGATTTGGCGTGGTGGGGGATACAGCCCGTTTGGAATACTGGTTCCACTCTGTGCGCACTGATTGACAAATGGAAATCGCCATTACTTGCGCGAAATTCGCTCCACTCGCGCGAGATTCGCTCCTTTTGCGCGAAATTCGCTCTTTTTTTGAAACTGCTTCGACAATTTGACGTTTTATGCGTGTATCAAACGTCAAATTGTCGAAGCAATGTAAAAAAAGAGCGAATTTCGCGGTTATGAGTACGCTTTAGACCGACGAAAGAGATTGAATACTGTTTATTTTCTGTTCAAAAATTTAATTTTCAGTACTTAAATCAGGCATTTTTTTGCAAAAATTACCAAAATTGAGTTTCTAACTCCACTGCCGGATGTTTAATTCAATGTTTTATATATTTGCTGCTCCGATCATGAAACGCGGTTCCTGAAAAATTCGGTCCCAACTGTCAACCACAACCGAATCTACCGATCAAACTGTTTTTTTCGGTTCGTTTTTGTTTTCAATATCTGATTTGTTTGTTAGGTGCTTTCGACGTGTATTTGCAGTGAAAATGGAACAAGAGATGAATACATTGAGTAAATACATGGAACAAGAGTAAATATATTCGTTAAAAGGCAATACCCAAACGGCTGGAGTGCGAACGGAGTCACTCGGAGTGTGCAAGCCGAACCCAGCTTGAATAGTGCAATAGAAAATGGCATCGGTAGGCGGGGCTAAGTGTCGGAACAAAATAGTTGTATTCCTTTCAAGAGTTCGAAACACTCGAGCTACTCGCTCCGGTGTTCAGGAGCCCCCAATTTGCAGGGAACAGATGCGTGGCGCAACAAACATTTTTCGAAAGGAATAGGGGCGTGAAGCCCCGGAGCTGTTCTGGAGCGCCTCCTAGGTGTGAAAGGAATACAACTTATGACTACTTAAACAGAGCCGAACTAAATGGATTCTATAGGTGTATTCCTTTCAAGAGTTTGAAACACCAGAGAGAACAGATGCGCTGGCTTTCATGCATTTAAATGTTTGAGTAGAGCTTGAATCTCAGGTGCAACAAACACTTTTCGAAAGGAGAAAATCGAGGTTACACCAAGAAAAAAAAAGTTGCTACAGAAACTTCAACATAGTGGAACAGGAGATCCTTCCAAGTGCCAAAATAGGAATTCTGGACTTCAATAATTTTTCGCATTTAAAAAATCTTCGGATGGAAAATGCGGCCCTGATGCAATTCTGACGCGTTGCTATAGTTGTATTCCTTTCAAAAGTTTGAAACACTCGAGCTACTCGCTCAGGTGTTTAGTAGCCCCCGAATTGCAGGGAACAGATGCGTGGTGCAACAAAAACTTTTCGAAAGGAATAAGCGCGTGAAGCCCTGGAGCTGTTCCGGAGCTCCTCTTAGGTGTCAAAGGAATAAAACTAATGATGAAGGTGACAGAGTCTCAGACAGAAGTGTCGTAACAATACGGCGGAAGTGGATACGGTTTTTTTCTCCTCATGTCGTCGCCTCCTTATTATTCTACCTCAATGGGTAAATACTACATTCATTCCTGACGATTGCTTTTTACAAATATATTTTCAAGAGAATGATAATGATAGCCAAACTAAAGCAGAACCGGAACCGAAGCGTTCCACACATAAACATAAACCGCATTTTCAGGAACTAGACTGTCAAGGATAATACACACTACTAATAGCTGTTTGCACCCGATTCTTGGTTTGCACCGATCATTTGAAGGAAGCCTTAACGATAAGTATTCTTAAAATCACATTTTTACATGGAGAAATGTCATTTTAAGGAATACTTATCGTTAAAGCTTACTTTTCATGCATCCGTTTTTCCGTCAGTCCGTTGATCCGGGAGTATTCCTATTGATCCAATATTTTGGCACCAAAGAATTGGACCAATAGGAATACTTCCGGACTGACGGAAAAACGGATGCATGAAAAATAAGCTTAAAGCCTAGTACTCATAACTGCGAAATTCGCATTTTTTTGACATTGCGTTGACAATTTGACGTTTTATGCGTGTATCAAACGTCAAATTGTCGATGTAATGTCAAAAAAATGCGAATTTCGCAGTTATGAGTACTAGGCTTAAAGCCTAGTACTCATAACTGCGAAAATCGCATTTTTTTGACATTGCGTTGACAATTTGACGTTTAATGCGTGTATCAAACGTCAAATTGTCAACGCAATGTCAAAAAAATACGAATTTCGCAGTTATGAGTACTAGGCTTAAGGGAGGATTTTTATGCATTCGTTTTTCCGTCGAAATATGTCCGAAAAGTCTTCTATTTTGACATATTTATATACGATTATGTCAGAATAGAATGTTAAACGGACATATTTCGTCGGAAAAACGGATGCATGAAAATCCTCCCTAAAGCTTAAGGGTGGATTTTTATGCATCCGTTTGTCCGACGAAATATGTCCGAAAAATCTTCTATTTTGACATATTTTTATTCGATTATGTCAGAATAGAATGTTTTTCGGACATCTTTCGTCGGACAAACGGATGCATGAAAATCCACCCAAGTCTTACTTGCGCGAAATTCGTTTTTTAAACGTCAAATTGTCGAAGCAATGTCAAAAAAAGAGCGAATTTCGCGCAAGTGAGAATGAGGCATGGCTTCCCTAGAATAGTTGGTGGAAACGACCATTAATGTGGTAAAACCAAGTATCCATGAAGCAAAAGCCCGCGGAATCATAACCTGTAGTGCAAACAGCTTACGTGCAGGCAAGAAAGGACATGCTGCTTACGTCACAACTGGTGATTTGGCGTGGTGGGGGCTTCAGATTCGTTTCACACATGCCTTATGAGGATAGGCTATCCTGGAGTATTATCCTTGACAATTATGCGTGGAGCTTACAAAAAGTGCACTTTACCTTTCCGCATTTATTTGCAAGTGGAAAGTATCACATTACCGCACACTATGCGGTAAAGTGCACTTTACAGCATAGTGTGCGGTAAAGTTAACTTTACAGCATAGTATGCGGTAAAGTAGAATACAAAGTGTGCGGTAAAGTAGAATTTGATATTTATAATCAAAAATCCTCCCTTTTTCAGAAAATGGATTTTTGATCATTTCTAAATCTTATCTAATTTCATTAATTAATCTGATCTTAACGTCTGCGTTGCGTGCGGTAAAGTATCACTTTCCGCATTTGTTAGGTAAATAACTATTACCTACGAGTGCACTTTACTGCACTTATTTGCAAATGGAAAGTAGCACTTTACCGCATAGTGTGCGGTAAAGTTAACTTTACAGCATAGTATGCGGTAAAGTGGACTGTAAAGTGTGCGGTAAAGTTAACTTTACCGCATAGTATGCGGTAAAGTAGACTTTGGTATTTATGATCAAAAATCCTTTCTTTTTCAGAAAATGGATTTTTGATAATTTCTAAATCTAATCTAATTTCATTAATTAATCTGATTCATTAATTAATTTTATTAATGCCTTTTTTTGGAGATGTAGATGCTCATAGGTAAAATTTTGTACCTAACACATGCGGAAAGTGCCTTTATCGTATCACTTTCCGCATTTGTTAGATAAATAACTATTTCGGTAGAGTTACTTTACTGCATAGTGTGCGGTAAAGTAGACTTTGGTTACTGTTATTAAAAAACCCTTCTCTCTCAGAAATTTCATATAACTCTCCATTACATATTTAATTGTAGAAATTCAGTAATAAAATCTTAACTTACCACAGTAGGGTAGAATTGTTTCTCACCAAAATATTCTTCTAAATTATTCCGAGACATTTTCGAAAAGCAAAATGTATAATATTTTGACATGCAAAAAAGCATAAAATTAATTGTATACACTATAATAATTGAAAACTGTTTCATCAAATCAATAAAAGCGAAAGTTTTTCTATAGATAGATGGAAACTTTGAGAACATCTGCTCAATTAAAACTAAAATAGCTAGAATTACATAATATAATATTTAGAAAGGTCTGAGGTCATGTAATAAAAAATTAATATATATTCCTGTCTGATCAGAATGGAAATCCCTTGCTGCTTTATAAAGGGTGGATGTCTGATACTTTAGTTTAATATGAAAATTGGTATTTCCATTCAAGAAGATAAGAATTTCTTGAGACTGGAAATAAATGCTGATTCTCAAGAAAATGTGATGGCAGCTTAAATAAAAATTAATTAAAACCTTAGAGCATAGAATAAAACAATACATATTTGAGTATCAAAAGGGTAAATATATTTACCAAAAAACATGAAAATAATTTTCCAGCTTGCTGTATTAAAAGAAGCGTTTTTACTTTTACAAAAAAAAAGTATGTACTCATAAATCAACACTTATAGTAAACGCCATAGGGGAAATAGGGACAAAATGCTAAGTTTTTGAAAATTTTAACTTGATCCCAAAAAAATCATATTAATAAGCAAAGTGTCTTGAAATCAGTACTTTTTTATTTCCATGGTTAACAAAACTAACTTTCGAGTTTATGACTTCCTCAAACCTCAAAGATATGTACAGTGTGTCCAATTTTGGTTGTACATAAGAGATATCTCATTGTTTCTTATGATAAAAACAGAAAAAAAAAAAAAATTGCTCAAAAACTGTTAAAGATAAACCAATCAAATTTTATATCATTGAAATCAGCAAAATCAGAGCTATCCAATGAGTTAATAATATAAGGGTCTCATTTGAAAAAACGTATGTTTGGTAGACTATTTAAAAACTATCACTTCTAGAGAAAAACTGACTAAGCCACTGGAAATCTACGTTAAAAGATCTAGAGATACAAAGGGTGTCTCAAATGCAACTTTTTCAAAAACACCTTGTATCTGAAAAACAAAAAGGGCGATTACAATTCTGCTGACGCCATCTTTCGTTTGTCGAAAAAGTAGCCAAAGTTCATGAGAACCTCATCCTTTTAACTCCAATAACAACTGAGATAACCCCTATGTACAAACAAAATGGGACACACTGTACATATATTGTATTACAACAATAATAAAAAATGTAGCTGAAACTAATAAATTGGGCCTCATACCTACCAATCTTCTCAGCAATGATTTATTGTAAAAAATGTAAAATTGCCTGCTTGACTTTGATTTAAAATAATTATTCACAATTTAAGAGACTGCAGAAATGAATCCATCCATAGACTTCAGCATATTAGTTGGTTAGACTGTTGCAGCATAGTAGGCTAAGAGGTTCCAAATCCTAGTCAAGGCAAGAAAGTTTTTCGTTAATTTTAAATTTACTAAATAGTTACAAGAAACCCAACACCAATAATTTATTACCCTTCTCACTCACTACTCTAGGCATAGGTAGAAAGTACTAAGCCACGATTTACGATTTTTATGTAACCAACTGCCTTATTGGCGATTTCAGCTACCAATGGAGATGTTAGAAGTATTAATATCTCAAGTCTCTATTGTACTTCACAATAGTCAAGAAAATACTGTAGTCCAAAAGACTCTGACACTCAATAGAAACAATTTTCTCTTGGATCATTAAAAGTCGAAGATTCGAAAAATAAAATTGTTTAAACTTTAAGGAATCTCTTCCATTTTATCGCACATGTTTGCTACTCATACAAATTAGCAACAATACCGATTCCTAAAAAAAAGTCTACCAACAAAAATAATTAACCATATAAATTTCCAGGGAACTCTTGATCTGACAATGTATCATCGTCATGTTCCGATTCTGGATCTTTACGCTTTCTTCCGTAAGCTCTCTTGCTTGTAGTAGGCAACTGGTCAGTTTCTCCATGTAGCAATGAATTCCTGTAGAGTTGTAATGGTTGCCAATCTTCGCCTCTGCTACTAGGCATACCTACAGAAAACATTAAACTATGTACGTATAGATATTTGATTTATTGCCATTAATCACACAAATTATATCAATTTCGGAAGGCGTCATCATATGTTCCAGTGCAAGTTCCACTGTATATTTTTTTATCATTTTCTTTAACAAAGTCTCAACAAATATGGTATTGCTAACGAAAAATGCCATAATATACCATACGTTACATTTCACAAACTGAAGCGAAAGTAGTGAAATTGCATGACACATGTAGAAGCGGCACAAAAAGTTACCCAGATCCTCAAAATTTCAATTACATTAAATGACACATTCCGAAGTTATGATGATAATGATTTGAATATAAAAATTACTTACCAGTGTGTATTCTCCTGTCCAAAAATGTCATCACAACTTTTTTATCTTGCTTCAAAAGTTTATTGGTGAATTCGGCGAGAATTTCCAAAAATGGTAAATTCGGAGGTGGTCCGGTTGGATCTTCAGCATTTTCAGCTCCGGTGACAGCGAATAAAATGCCTGCTCGATGCAAAGCCGTGATTGCTTCGCGATTTTTGAGGGCGTCCAGGCCAAATGAGAGAGCAAACCTTTTAGCTAATTCCTAAAACAATTATTTTACTTACATTAATGTTTTATAAAATATATTAAGTGATTACCTTCAATGCGAAGAATTCTTCTTGTTGTCTCACATTCCTCCCGCCAGCCCTCTGCACTTCGTTGAACATCATATTCAAGCTGAGGCACATTGTTAAAGCGCAGTTTACTTTATTTATTTCTCTGGCTTTGCCTAAGGTGGTTTTTATGATGTCTCCAAAGTCGTTATAGTATTTTACGTAGTTTTTAAAGACTTCCGCTCCTGAAATTTTCAATAAAAAAAAAAATAGAAATAGAGCGGAAACTATTTGAAAAAAAAACTCCACTCACCTGCTTTAGTAGGCATAATATTGTAAACTATCAACTTAGAATAAGCCGCCAAAAAGTTTCTCCTTTTATGCAGCTCCTCTATCTGAGGCTCATCATTATCGTTGTCCTGCTCAGAAATAAAGACGTACATTTGTACAAATTCGTTTAAAAGATCTTGCAACTCTTTGTTAGGGGTACAGGAAAGTTCACCCAAATACTCATGAGCGGATTTCAATTGATCACTAAAAAAAAATTATTCAACTAGAATTCAATAGAAAATAATATTTATTACCTGAATATTATCAACAAATCACACAGTCCAACATAAGCCTCCTCTTTGATAACCACATGAGGTGATGCACGGATTAGAATTTGAGAAGCTTCAATAAATACATCGAGTTTATTCCGTAACTCTTGAACGTCGGAATGTTGTAGACTTCCTCTTTCTTGAGCAGCCTCCAAATCTCTCAAGCCCCAAAGCAAGTAAAAGTAACAGGAACTTACACAATATTTTAGAGCGTCTTGCGGCATTTTACTTTCAATATCCTAAAACAAGAAATCAATGTATAAAGTCAAACTAATGCTTATAGTTACCTTAAAGTCTTGGAAAAAAGTGTCCCAAAGGTCCCACTGGTTCAAATTATGACAAGCATAAAACATTGAAACTTTTTTCAACGAGCTGACAACATTGAATATTTCATCAGCGTTTGGGGTTTCTTCTCCCAACAATAAATTCCTCCAATCGTCGATGGCTTCTTTGTAAGCTGCAACTATTACGTCCATAATAGTCGATCTGGCAACATCACATCTTGTGTAAATCGAATGACCTTCTGTGCAAAGAGTTTCCAGAGTTTTAGCCAAAGTTTCTAATACCTAATAAAATAGTAATATGTATATTTTTTCTAATTTATTTGGCCATAGTTTACCTCTGGTTCGTGGTGTACTTGGACAATGTACTTCAATTTTGCCAATAAGGCTTGTAGAGAACCTTCTTGTCTTCCGCTGGTGTATAGATCAAGATCGAAATGTTGCGGAATGCTAAGAAGATTCGCTAATTTTTCAGGATCTGCTGAAAATTTATCTAGTAAAGGTGGTAGTGTAACAATAAAGTGTTCTGTGAGTTTCTGTTTGTCTTCGCTGGTCTAAAAATGATTGAATGACTAAATAAACCAGTATTAATAGGAATGATTACTTGTTTAATTTCTCTCAATGAAGATATTTTTCTGTTGGGTCCTCTTCCAACAGGAGCTTCACCAGTTGCTGCTTGTTTCACACAGCACACCATAATTTCAATTAAACTAGTTTCTTGCCTAAAAATAAATGTTGAAAATATTTAAAAATTAAATTAATTGTTCTCTTACCTATTATCTAATGGTTCCTCGTGTGGTCCAGGTTCCTCCAACAACAAATCAGTCATACATTCCCAGTCTTTCATCATGGTATTTGATTCAATTAGAGAATCGACCAAATAGGCTGCATGTTCGTGCAATTCCGATTCAATAAAAAACTGAACCAAATCTCTGATAAAAGGCGTATTAGGCAGACGCCTTTTGCCCCTTCTAGTTTTACCGGCATCCATATCGGCCGGTTGAAACAGTCTTTCGTTCAAAAACTCACCGGCAGCTTGAGCCACAGCTCTGTGCGACGAATATACCAATTCGTACACGTGTTCGCAATCTTTATCAGTTAAAATTTCGATGTGGTGCTTCAAAATTGAAATAACCAGCCTTACTGCTTGTACGGCAACATCGTATTCTTTGTCTAAAGTCATGGCGACAATCCTGTCTTTGAATTTGTTTGTGAATAGTTCAAGTTTTCCTTTTAGTTCTTCACTTGCGTATAAGGGTTGAAGGGCCTGCAGGCATCTCAGTCGAACTTCGCCAACCTGAAAAAGTTTGAGAAATGTTAAATTTTCTGAGCGAATAGGAGGCCAATACTCCAGCACACCAGAAGATTCTTTGAGAATCGAGATAATTTGTTTGTAACAGTTGAAACCTAATTCCCAAAAATAATGATGAGCTGAATTCCAATTTTCAATTCTACTGGAATAAAAATGTTTACTTTGTCATGAAGAGTCCATCCAATATACTTCAAATACGAATCGTCCAAAAAGTTGGCATGAAATTTGTGCATCCAAACGCCAATTTCTGTCATAGCGATAGCCCTGATTTCTGGCAAAGTGTCCCTGTACCGGTGCACGAACACTGATTTAAACATGTAAGTCAGCATGTTTTTAATTTCGTCCATGTTCTCTTCCAGTTCCTGCCTTTTGCCCAGCAGCGCTTCTAAACGATCGCTGGCTCTATTTTCCCTGGACTTTTGCCGTTCTGAGTCATACTGCCGTTGAGTGTTGTCCAAGTTTATTGACACTGTTAGAGCGACATCTACTAGGGCTGTCATCAGTTTCATCGCTCCCAGTGTGGCTGTATGTCTAAAGGCTCTGACCTAATAATAAAGAATATATGAATATTATTACTCTTGGATTTGATTAAAATTCTTACTTGAGAATCAGACAATCCAGTTAAAAGTGAAATAACATTATCCATCAAAAACTGATCATAGATAATAGTGTACTGACACTGTTTGACCAAAGTTTGCACGAAATCACAGAAATTCTGCCTGAACTTTTTCCATGACTGTCCCGCCATAATAAGTGGATATTCTCCGGATTCTTCATCAAACTCTTCAGTCATTTTTCGAATTATAGTCGCGTGCTCCATCTGAGCTTGCATTTCTTGAGTTATCCTGCCTTTACATCCAGCGGCATTTATGAAAAATTGCATCAGAGAAATAAGGGCCGCCTCACGATTTACCTATAAAAATGTTTTATAGTGAAAAGCGAGGTAAAAGGTTTATGAACATGAGAATATGTTTACCTTGTAACTTTCTATCCAATCATCTACAACATTAGTCAAGGAAACTCTGCCGCCTTTAATGACATTATAGAGAGAATCGTCATCGATATTGTGAGTGTGGAATTGTAGCTCTAATGTCGCATTGTTTTTTCTTCCTGGCGGTCTTCCTCTGCCTCGTCCTCTTCCAGGTTTTTCCGGCGGTGGAGAATACGATATCGGAAGCGGTGGTGGATTTGTTATACCTCTGGCTCTTGCCCTTAGAAATAATTTACAATTAAGGATTTGAAGATAGAATTGGACAAAATACATATCATTCATAGTACTTCGGAAAAAAGAACCTACAAATCATTGTGAAAATCTATTATTTAAAAAAAGCCCAATCAGTGAGATCCAGAATGGTTCTTTGATATAACCGAATTCTGGTCATTTGCATGCATGTTCAATGGTTAACTTGAATTTATATCAAGGTGAATGGGCAGAAAGAAATATCGAATACCTCCAAAATGTTGGAGGTATTCGATATTTCTCAAAAAAAAATCCCTTCGGGTAGGTTAATTTAAATCTGAAATAAATGTAATTAGGCTCAAATTAAGGCTAATTAAATTATCTTCAAATCCCTAGTTGATAGTTTCAATAGTTTCGCAGCTGACAAGCTTTAGATTTTCTTATTATTATTTTTTCAAATTTCAATCTTTTTCCTATCAATTTCTAAAAAATCCAATCCTTCCAACATTTTCTCAAAAGACAAATAATAAAACGTCCCTCAATGTCGTTTTTTGGTTAAGGTGAACAAGCAGAAAGATTTTTTTATTTTTTTCCTCTTATTCATTGAACATTTTCCTAAAAAAAAAACTGTCCCCCACATCATTTTCTGAAAAATGATTTTTTTCCAAAATCAATTTCATCATTAACATCAAGATATTTTGCCTCAAACCTTTGTTAATTTCAAACCGATCTTAATAATGTAATTAGACTTAAATTAAATAATCTACAAATCTCCTGTTTATAGTTACGAAGTAGCTTAAGCACTTATATTCCAGATCTTGGAATGAAAAAATTAAGAAAGTCTAGGATTTTGAAATAAAAAAAAATTGTGAAATAAAAAAACGAATAATATGTAGAGTGGAAAATCTTTAAAAAAAAATTGCAGAAATTATTACTTCTCCACGTTCAATGCATGAAATACTTTACAACTTTCAAAAAAAAAATTCCTAGCAAAATGCTGACAGTCTCTGCCCTAAATTTCCAGTGTGCAACAAACTTTACTTTCAAATGTAAATTAATGAATTACATAGTTGTATAGCTTCAGATTTTTCTTCGTCTATTTTTTTTTTTATGCAAAACACCAAAATTTTTGAGTGTGGAAAAGTACTTTAACACACGCAAACACAGATAAATTTAATTTTATTTTAATTTAATCTTTCTGTATATGCCAGCAAAAAAGGGTGAACATAATTTTTCTGTTCAATATAATGGTTTTCGCTTTGTCGCTTGATGAACTTTAAAATTTAAGACAATAAAAGCTTTGTAAAAGTTAAAGTCATAGGAAAAATCCTGCATTTAACACATGCGTAAAGTGCCTTTTCCGCACTTGTTATCAAAATAACTAAGCAAGAACAAGTATTAAGTAAAAGATTATTTTATTATCATTTTAAACAGAGTTACAATACAAAAAAACTAAACTGGGATTTCCAAATTTGATAAACATAATATTTATATAATTCAAAATAATATGTTTATCAATCAAACAAATTATATAAAAATGAAACTAATCTGATCGCGTTTCTGTCTGACAAAGTTCTTTGAGCGCCGTCAGCTCATCCATCAGCTCTTTGTTTTGATTTTCTAGTATGGCCACTCTTTCTTCCAAGCATTGTATGTATTGTTTTTTCTTCTGCCTACATTCGCGGGCCGCTATACGGTTTTTCATTAGTCGAACTTTGACTTTTTCTGGATCTCTCCCATTTGAGTGGCTCACATCTATTTCTTCTAGAACAACTGGCACTAAGAACTGTGTGTTTTTTTTTACGATTACGCTACCTGCTTCTGCATTGGTAGATATTTGCTCACTGGGCTCTTCCAAGAAAATCTCCTCGACCTTGAATTCGTCTTGTTGTATTTCTGATTCTTCCTCTGACAAATAATCGTTGCTGTCTGATGTTTTGACTACTCGTGTTCTGGAATTTCTTTTCGAACTGCCAGAGAATAAACATGAATTAGAACTTCTCAAACACTACAATTGCATTGAAATTACGAAAATAAATCAATAAATGAGGGAATTGAGAACTTGGCCTTACTATGAAAATAGGTTTTCAAATATTTCATAATTTTTCAATGCAGTTGTAGAAAAAAAGTGTTTACATTTATTATTAGGTGCACAAAAGATTCTCCTGCTCTGCCCAAACAAGCTAAAGTTAGTTTCAAAGATTACATCAAATTCAAAAATCTACCTCCATCCCTTTTTCCTCAAATAAAAATAGACCAAAAGTCACCAATCGCATTATGAGAAATTTAGAAATTTTAAGAACTTTGATACACATATTGGAATAGCGGCTGAGACTATAATGGATAGACAATTTGAGTACCAATTTTAGAAAACGATTAAATGAAGCAGAAAAAACAAAATGTGATAGAATCAAGAAGTTATTGAAAACATAAAAATAAGATCAATTCCATCAAAACACGAAAACAAATGATGATTGGAACATAAAATCGAGCATAAAATACAATGAAACAATTGATAAAGCCAGCAGAATTGAAATTTTTTGATGGAAAAATAGATGGAAATAAACAAAACTATTACTAAACTAACTAAAAACGATAATTATCAATAAAAGAACTAGGAACATGTGAATAAAATTCTTAGCAGAGCAGTTGTTGAGAAGAATATAAGAGTTTAATGAACATTTTCTAAATTATAGTATGTATCCTAAATGAAATCATATACAACTCTAAAATGGACAATATGCAAAAATGTAAAGGAAATGGCACTGGAAACGTGTAATCCTAGGCACCGGTCGATTTTTGAAACTTTTGGATATGTTATAGCTTATTTATATCAATCCAAACATTTTTTTCCCTATGAATTTTTGTGGCTATATCGGGTGGAACGAAAATGCTCTTTGGAAGCGAACTTTTTATCCTTCTATAATGTTGCAGTTTTTCTTACGCGATGATAGGCAGAAATAGACCATGTATAGGTAGGCATCTAGTTAATTCACAATTAAGTAAAAAAGACTTCTATAGATAACATACAGGGTATACCTATAATGAACAATATTGAAAATATATATGTTTCCACTGGAATATCTACAGATGGATATTTGATATCCTAGATAAGTATTTTCGTTTACGTCAATGAAAGCATTTTCTTTTGTCCAGCTAACCTACTTTTTTGTGTAGCTATACCAAGTGACCCTAAGGGCGGGTATTATAAAACTGCTTTGATAGTTAATTTGAAATTAACTTTTTGAATTACATGTAATTCCAGAAGTTAACTTTAAGTTAACTCTCAAAGTAGTTTTATAATACCCGCCCTAAAAGTTCCTTTGAAGTTTAAACTTTGACTTTTCCACATTGCGGTTTTTTTGACAGAAAATATAGTCAATTCACAATGAAACTAATGCCAATAATTTTATCTAGTAGTTTTTGCTAAATTTTTTGGGTGTTCACAAATTCATGGAAAGACTATGAAGGAGAACATAAAACATGATTCAATAGGAACTTTTATTATATAAAAATAAATATTTATGTATATATTACTTGAGGTACCAATTTGGAATTATATTTGTTTAACAGAAAAGTGAAAACAATTATTATGTACATTTTATGTTAAAACTACCTAATAATAAACACTATTCCTATTCTAAATTAAACATTTACTATTTCAATTTCGTACCAATTTGCCCCGCGATTTGCAGCATCTAAAACGGAACGAAGAAGATCATTTTTAGGATAAATTTGTTCCTCATGTCTTGAATCTTCCACAAACCATAAAATGCTAGCTACATGAGCGCATGTCCCCAAAGTTCTTGTACCAACTTTGCAATTACCGGGTGATTGTCTATATTTTGCACCCACACCTATCTCACCTGTTTGAAGAGATACCCAGGAATGTCAAATATGAAAGTTGTTGGTAATATCAGAAAAATTTCAATGATGTTAGTTACAAGTATACAGGGTGTGTGTCACAAAAGTGTGGCGAAGCAAAGTTATACTTTTTTAAATGGAAAACCTTGTATATTATTGTCCCATTGGATTAGCCTTTCAAACCTGATTCCAAATAGACTAGCAGCTGTATGCAACATCCTCTTTTAACTTGAAAGTGCTTTTTAAAACTGGTACCTTTAAAAATTTGTATGGTTTAGAATATACATTTTTAAAAGTGACCAGTTTTAAAAAGCGCTTTCAAGTTAATAATGGATGTTGCATACAGCTGTAGGCTTATTAGGTTTATTCCTCGTCATAGTCCAGCCTCTGAATATCCCATTTTGAAAAAAAAAATGAATTTTTTATATGAATGATTACCTTTATATTTTGCTGGTGGTTTCTATCCTTCACCTTTTTTTAATAAAATATGCAATTATTTCACCCTTTTTTGTCCTATTTTCTCCTGGACTAAAAGGAATAAACCCCGGAATAAACCTAAATAACCTACTAGATATTTGGAATCAGGTTTGAAAGGCTAATCCAATGGGACAATAAAATATGGGGTTTTCCATTTAAAAAAGTATAACTTGGCTTCACCACAATTTTGTGATACACCTTATATACTTGTAACTAACATTATTGAAAACTGCCTGATATTACCTAGAACCTCGCTTCCCGCAATACGTGTACATTTGGCCTGAAATCACTTGCAATCATCTCCGAAATCAATCTGAAATCCCGCAGTCATTTCGCAATATCTGAAATCCTTCTTGCAGTCCCGAAATCGTTGTCCGCAATCGCTGAAATCCTATGCAACCACCTTTGCAATCTCTGAAATCGCTCAAAATCAGCTCTGGTGGGGATAAAAAATCAGCTGTTGATCGGGATTTTGCCCGTTTTTGAAGTACATTGATAATTGACATCAGCTTTCTGTTGCTCCCATTTTTGAATTCAGCACACAACAGTGTTTTTTTTTTTTGAAGAATCAAATGCTGGATCTGATGTGGAACAAGTGGACATGTGATTTCAATATCCAATGAAAAATATTATGCAGCTCTTTATGACACCTGGTATATTGGACGTATTTCAGAATCATTGGAAAATGAT